CAATGAATGTGCTATCAATGCCATTTGTTTTGTAAGTGCCGTCAACTGACACACACCTCGCTTACATATTTTTCTTCTCCACTCAGTCTTAGGAATATAAACGCTGCATCCATGAATCTTGACAAACGCTGCATCCATGAATCTTGACATCGAAACCAGTATTGCGCTGGTCGCGGCTTGTACGGAAGAAAAAGAATTGGAAGGTTGTGCAAAAAAAAAAAATCGTGTCGCGGGATTTCATTTTCCTACAATCTCGTAAATCCTAAATGCTGATGTGTGGTCATTTCATAACACGTTTCTAGAACGCACGAGTTCTTGAAGCTTGCTTCCATCGGAATGAGAAAAGAAAAGGCTGTGGAGTTTGATAATAACGCATCCGGTTTCGTATAGGCACTTAGAAGCTAACATATTTGTGAGACAGCGAACTCCTCTATTTTAATATTTATCATATTACGTCCTTCTGGCATTGCGTTCGGTGAAGTGTTTTTCATATTCCGTATCTTGTTTAATGAAAACTTCTTTAAGGGTCTAATTTGAGTTACCGAAAGCTAGTTCAAATAAAGAAAGCTGTATTTTCTCCCCACTGTTCCTCCAATTGCTTACACGCCGAGGTGGCGGGATAGTTAGCGAGTTCTACTTGTAAGTGGGTTTGTAAGGAGGTCGCGGATTTTACAGCTACTGCGTCGGACCCAATTATATGAAGTCCGAATGCGTAAACGTCGGTGGGGTAACCTTTGAGTGCACATAAAGAAACCATTCCTGGTAGAAATCCCTGAGCCTTACACTACGATGTATCCCGTTTCGTATGTGCTGATTTCAGATGTTTTATTTGTAATTTATTTTGATGTTGCAATTTGTCAATTATAATTTCCGAACCGGTTCGCGAACCGGTTCAGCACCCGGAACCGGTTCGCGAACCGGTTCGCGGATCGAATTAATTGAACCGGAACTGAACCGGAACAAAATTAATTTACCTGAACCTGAACCGTAACCGAACCCGTATTTTTTTCGGTTCGACACACTGATATATATATATATATATATGCAGTATATATATATATTAAGTTTTTTTTTTTTTTTAAGCTTTGAAAGTTTGAAGAAAAAAAAAAGCCGTGAAAGTTACACTTATGCGATTTGTGCAGGTGAGTTATACGGCCAGGGGGACATAGTATAGGGGGCTAATCGTAACGATCAGTCGGCTAATTAATTAAAACTTGTTAATTAACTTTTGAATTAGTGAAACTAGACATATGGATCCAATTAGAAACTTACTGGTGCGCCCCTGAGTTTCCCACGAGCTTCATATCGTTCTAAAAAAAGTTGATTTGGTAGTTTTCGATGACGCTCAGTAAGTTTATAGTTGAAACCTTATGTCTATTTTCACTAATTAAAAGTTAATTAACGAATTTTAATTAATTATCCGAGTTATCGTAAAGATTGGCAACCCACATAATGTCCCCCTGGCCTTATAACTCACCTGCATAAACCGCATAAGTGTAACTTTCGCGCCTTTTCTTAAATAAATCTGTAAAACTTAAAAAAAAACCTAATATATATATATAATAAAAGAAATACACAATCAATTATACATACATTTAACACAATACATCCCTTGTTGAAAAATCAAATGAAAATAAAAGCAATAAACAGCACCGAGGATGGTTTACACTGAGCAAGAATAACTATATAATAATTTCAAGATCGAACACAACTTCATGAAAAAGCGCTCATTTTTTTTTTAAATTTCGCTCATTTTGTTGCGCGGGGAACAAAAACCAATTGAGTAGATATTTTTTTTCAAATAACCTCCTCTCGTATCCATTTTACTTGAAGTATGTGTATTTTGCAACGTTTTCAATACTTACGTAGTTTTTTTTTTTTTTTTAATTAACATATATGATATTGATTTTTTTTAGAAGATACTTCTTGCCGTCTTGTTCAGCCGTGTACTTGACTTTCGTCTTTCGCGCTGTTTAACCAACATGGCCATCAGCTTATAGGTATTGTTACAATTCCTTTCTTCTACGATATTTACGTGTTGCGCTTTCTTCTCAGCTGAATGTGTTTCTTTTTCCAATAATTTGATCGTCATTTCAACGTGCAAAGCGAGCTTCTATCACCTCTATTCCTTCGCCATTCGACACCATGTAACTATCCACAAGACAATCTGCTTTCATTTTACAAAAAAAAAAAAAAAGCGCTAGCTACATTTGCATCAAATTTCCTTTTAAAATTTTCGTCGTCATCTATTTTCTAACTGACGCTGAAAGAATAAAACACATTTGGGACGGACGACGAAATGGGTGCTTTATTCTTTCAGTGTCAGTTATCGTTAAACGAACACGCCCCTCAGTTTCCTTTTCGTCATTTGCTTTCTCACATTTTTTTATTAAAACGTCAATTGAATAATGATTGGGGTTGTGTGGATATGTATACAGCGTGTAGTTGGTCAGCCATTTCCAAAGTTGCGACGAGTCACTCGCTGTAGATGAGCAATTTAGCCAGTGCGGTACAACCGCTAGCCTGGGGTCTTTAACGTGCATCACACAGTGATTCACGGCCGCACACCGGTACGTTGCTCATCGTACCGGCGTGCGGTCAATCCCCATGGGATCCCCAAGGATCCTGCGGATTGAACTCAGGATCCATGGGTTCTGCAGCGAGAGCTTTCGCTCCACATGCTCCGAGCCGGTGTGCGCTGACCCCCTCGGCCCCCTCCTTTTGATTGAATTGCAAGCAGCGATCCTGGATTCAATGGAGAGTTTAGGAATATAAGGCGTTGGGTCCCCCGTGCAGCAATTGGGGCGTCGCACTGCGCAAACGCAGACGTTCTGCGAATAAGCAGTGCGGCGCCCCAAGCTGTTCGTTGGACACAAAGCCCGTCGGGGTCCCATATTCTAAAACTTCATAGTGATCAATCGCTATCCCTGTTCGTTCAGATCTGGATGAGCGTCGTACTGGCGGGTGGTCGTGTATCACTACTGCGTGACGCCGTGATGCAAGACCCCATGGCTAGCAGTCGTACTGCACTGGCTATTCCTATAGCATCTACAATGGGTAAACAACTAACGACTAATTTTTTGGTTGTCGTTGTCTTGTCCTGTATTCTATTTGTCCTTTGTCCTTCGCGCTGTTTTTGTGGTGTTTAACGAACTGTCATCAACTTATATTGCTGTAACACGACATTTGATTGGGCTAGTTGTTTCATATTCGTCGTTGATAAAACAGCGCAAACTGAACAAGGACGAAGGGGCAGCGCCAGTCCTGTAGTATGTGTGCCTCCTCGTCCTCGTTAAGTTTGCGCTATTTTCTTAACGTCGAGTATGAACCAACTAGCCCAATCAAACAGCGGCAGTCCTGCGTACTACTTCTTGCCAAGTGTTACTCATAGAAATATTCACATGAAACGTGCTTTGTCTCGTCAGAGGGAGTCTAGAAATTTGTGAAGTCCAAAAGTGAAGCCGCCGATTAACTCGATGCTGATTGACTGAGCCAGGTGATGACGTCACGCCCCTAGCTCGACGCTGACTGGCAGGTTCAGGTATGACGTCACGCGCGAGGCCACGCTCACTCGGCGCTGTTTGGCTAGTAATTGCGCAATCACTCACGCGCCACCGCTCGCCCGCCAGACGGTACACTCTAAAAAATGTTTGTGCGTCTACTTTCACGCACACCACTCGAAGAGCCAATCACTGCAACTTACGGAGGCAGCTCAGCGAATGACAATACCGAAACATATGTTTAGACGAAAAAACGCAGTCTGAGTTGTGACATTAAGCAGTGCAAAACGTCACGCTTGCATTGCTTAATGTCACAACTCAGACTGCGTTTTTTCGTCTAAACATATGTTTCGGCATTGTCGTTCACTGAGCTGCCTCCGTAAGTTGCGGCGATCGGCTCTCCGAGTGTTGTGCGGGAAAGCAGACTCACGGGCTTTTTTTAGAGTGTAGTTTTATGTCGTCGAAGAAACGTTTGCTGCTATGGACGGTTCTGAAAGAGCGACTGGGGCTTAAAATCCGGGTTTGGTCCGGTAGCTCCATTGCAGGAATTGCTATCGAGTGTAGTACATGCCACGCGTTGAGCCAGTCGCTTAACTAAAAGAGCGCAGACGCCAATCCCAGAAGGTATCGGACTGAAACAGAATTGCCCAGCAATTCGCTATGCATTTTATTTTTTTTTTTTCGTTTTTTTTTTTTCTGCTTTGTTACAGAAACATTAGGTGACCACAATCGTTAAGGGTGCTTTTAATGCTCCAGCCTTGACGTTAACTTCAAAATTCAGGACGGAAACTGAATAGGAACCTAGCAAACCCTCAGACTTGTTTAAAAACGACCATCGTTTTATACGATTGTTTTCAAATTTTTATGGCGCAAAAACAGTTACCTCCTGGGGCCCACTTTCCCGAAATCACCACACTCCGCATTGTAAGCGTCAAATGAGATTCCGTGGAAATTTGAAATTTGGGGAGTCTAAGAATCGAACCTCAAACCAACGAAGGTTATCTGGCACACTCCGCCGAAGGGCTGAGGATTAACTTAAGCTGCCTAGGGGTCTTTGTACGTATGCACATGCGAAAGCTAGCCGACACAGCACTTACACTCACCAGACACCAATAAGCCTTCGTCAGGTGCGCGGGCACCTCGACCGCCATTTTGCAGATTCGTTGGGCGTTCGTTCGCGAACGAAGCGGCAGCAAGGTCACACTGCTTATACATCACACTGATGTATAAGCAGTGTGACCCCTAAAGCCTAAAACACTGCTTATACATCATACAAAAGACAGTATGCACACAGGTTGGAACGCGAGTCACCGCAACATCCCCGCTTAGAATGCCGCATGGCATTCTAAGCAGGGATGTTGCGGTGACTCGAATACTGTGGTGACTCGTGTTTGCAGACTGTCGTTTGTATGAGCAGTGTGACCCCGGCTCAAGTAAATCATCTTAACTTCCGACATCTGCCGCGCGTTCGCGCTGCACACGCATGACAGACACGTCAGGTCAGCAAAAAATTGCATCTTTATTGTCGTTTCGAAAAATAAGAGCATTGATCTACGAAGGATGAAACGGAAACGGGAGATATTTGGCACGTGTGAAAATAATAACGCTACTTGGGGGTATTTGGTCCGTAAATATTCAACTGACGTGGAGTAAACCTTTATTTATGAATTGTTGCCATAGATGTCCACTACTCGTACTATGCGACGAATAGTGAAACCAGCTGCGCACAAAAGACAAAAAAAGAACAGTACACAAAAGACATAACGAGCCAAAACAATAAAAATTTGATCACAGCTTGTGCCGTTGCTTAACGAGTTCATCGAGTATTTGTTAATAAATGCAAACACCAAAACTTCCGAGAAAAAAAAAAAAAAATGAAACGAGTATTGCATACCGCTCCGAGATTCTATTCGGTGCTCAGTGTCGGAGAGCTCTAAACCTGGAAATGTTTCACTTAGACAATTCGTTGTAAACCCTTCATCTCAAGTTGATATTCGTGCCCAACGCGGTAACTTGATATGTATATATATCCAAAAAGAAAATAGCGCACGCTACAAGCAGTTGAGTAGAAAAAACGTAAAGTTAAAAAAAAAAAAAAAAAAAAAAAAAGACTGCATGGAGCGCCAACAACCAGCGGAGGCGACGTCTCACTGAGCTCTAAATAGAGACCAACTCTTGGACGGAGGACTTCTTGATGAGTACAGTCTCGACGGGCACATCGCTGCCGTTGGTCTTGAGACCCTCGATGTCGCGGACAACGTCCAGACCTTCGAGCACCTTGCCGAACACGACGTGGTGGCCGTCCAACCACGTGGTAGCAACCGTCGTGATGAAGAACTGAGCACCATTCGTGTTCTTGCCTGTCAAACAGAAACTACAAGTCACTCCCGGAACGCCGACCAAGTACACATAGGCGCCTAGAAACATCGCTGGTACACGGTTTTACGATATGACTGGTGAAGTAGAGCAGACAAGCTTGGGAACTGACATGTCATTGATTGCCGTTACAGTGCTCCGGCCCTAAACTCGTCAAATACAAAGTTGGAGCAGAAAGTTCGCGCAGAGCGCCGATTGGATGCCGGCGACAAAAGCGCGAAGTCATCGTCGCCACAGTCAATCGGTGCGCTCTGTGAACTTCGGCCCATACGTTGTGTTTCACGAGTTGGGAGCCTCTGGACAGCTTTCTGGCACTTTATAAAAATATATCAGGGGGTTCCTTGTCTTATACTGAAGTACGTGTTCTCGCGCTTTCAGAAAACGACCAACCCCTGGCAGGCGCCGCGGCTACTTCTACGCAACGATTGAACACGCGTGCCACATTTCAGCCTCCTGGTAACGAAACGGCGTTTTTCTAGTTCCTAGCCAATAAAGATTTGAATAGAGCCTTCGAAGTCAAAGTTTTTTTTAAGTCATTTTTCTGTCGCACATATTCTCGTGGATTTCTGAGCGCTTGGTCTATTTTGTACAAACGAGTCATTTTGTGCTTGGAAAATGAACAATTTGTCAGGTTCCGAAGTTGACAAAGGCAACCTCTGTCAACGTGTCAGAGAGAAAGAGACGGCATCCGACTCTTTCTGACGAAGAAATATCTTCATTACGCCAGACCATGAATGACACAAGTGGTTTTGTTGTATGCATACCAAGTTATCAAATGGTGACGTGTTATGTACTCTTTTTTTCTTTAATAATTTTTCAAGCAAAAAACTTCAGTTGCGAGTGCAGCTATTGCCCTGCCGCAAGTGTACCTCTCGTAGGCCTCATTTTTTGTAGCCGTTATTCCTATCATGTTAAACGTTTACCAAGTCACCCAGTTCAACACTGACGGAATAAAAACATTCCATGAAACGGTGTGCGACCGGGAACAGAGGCAACCATACCTACCGATGTGAATTACTGTTCCCCATGCTGAACAAAGGACATCAAAGACAAAGAATACATTGAAAATAATTCCTCCAACATGTTGGCCGACTTGCGGCGACTCCCATCGCATAGTAATGTTACGAAGCATTTCACACGGGTTAACTCTAACCTCAGCCGTTAATTTTTTTTTTTTTTTTTTTTTTCTCTTCGTGGGAAACTGAGAGGCGAAACTGAGATCGCGTAACGAGACGCCAACACGAAGCCACATGCTGGCGCAGCAGTGCGGGGCTGCAGCACTGAGGAAACCACGCTAGCCCTGCCAACGTCGCATAGCGGCGCCATTAGGGAGTCTTAGTAGATCGTTCCGGTAACAGCGACAATACCCGATACTCCGCGACCGCCTTTGAGCATCGTTATCGGAGGTATCTGAAAGATCCACTAAAACTCCATTTTCAGAGTCCACGCTTATTGTGCGCGCTCCGCTCGCTTCCTAAAACGTCAAACACGCGCGTGTTGAGGGCATGACCTTACTGGATAGCGCGTCTGGCCTAATGGACAATGCGGCCCTTCATATTCGCGAGTCACCTGACGTGCTACATAACTTCTTCCAGAGGATTTTGGGCCTCTAGTTTCGTCCACATATATATATTTAAACAAGTACTACCATTGTTTTCCTCGCATGATTTCGTGGACGCAGTCTTCGACAAACCAAGCAAAGAGCCTCCCGCCGAGAGGTTTTATTCGTCGAGGAGAGCCTTTAACGTCGTTGCAGGCGGTGCAGACGGCGTCTCTTATTGAGTCGACTAAATACTCACCAGCGTTGGCCATGCTGAGCGTGCCGGGTTCAGTGTGCTTCAGATCGAACGTCTCGTCGTCAAAATAGCGACCGTAAATGCTTAAGGAGCCCCGGCCTTCCTTCTTCTCCACGTCGCCGCCTGTTAAGAATCGGCGAAGGGAGGGAGGGGGGGGGGGGGGGGGGGGGGGGGTCGTATTTCAACCAAAAGCCAGACAGCACAGGCCTAATGCAAAAACAAACTTGGAGAAAAAAAAAAAAAACTGCAATGACTCGCGTTCTTGATGCCGTCGTCCTTAAACGAAGATTCCAATTGAAGAAAGCAGTCCACGTGCACCCCCCCACCTTCTTTGCATTTTTTATGCTTGGACTCTTCAAAGTTTTAGTACTTGAATTGGGAATGAAAAAAAAAAAATATTCATGTACACGGCACATTAAGGCCTTCCTATAAATCTGCCCAACTCAACGCTTTGCGAGGTTAGAGTTAACAGGAGTCCGAAACGTAAAGCACCTGCATCATAAAGGTTACTATAGTTGTCGGCAGAGTGATAAGGGCATGGAGTCTCCTTCTGATGCCCAGCCTCCAGCTCGCGCTCGTTGCCTTCCACCGTGCTTTGGCTGCGCGTGCACAATTGAGGCTCCCGGGACGAAACTCGCACTGAAGGCGGGACAACTGAAGGACTTCCTTGCCGTTCTTACCCTGCCAGTGACTATAGTAAGCACTGGAACTAAATTACCTTTACCCAGCAAAGGACGCGGAGCTATCTGGGTTGATAAACATTTCGAACTCCCATCCAAATAAAGCAACGACGAGCACTGTTTGAGGAACAAAAGACCTCATATTTCGAAGGCCTGCCAGGGCTGAGTATAAAATGACCTTGGATCATGAAGTCCTTGATGACTCTGTGGAAGTGGGTCCCTTCATATTTGAAACCCTTGTAGCCGTCTCCGGCAAAAGCCACAAAGTTCTTGACGGTCTTGGGCGCCACCTTGCCATAGAGACCGAGGACTATCTTCCCAGCATCGCGATTTCCGATGCCGATGTCGAAGGTTACCTTGTGGGTAACCGTAGTATCTGGTTTCTGACAGAGGAAAAAATAAAGTTTTATAGAAAAATGTGGGACACATGAACCAGAAGGTCCCCACCCCGAAAGTGGCACAAGACCACCAACCACACTATTTCCCTATCACGATAGGGCTCAAAATGAACTAAATTTGGAGCAGCATGAGCACTGAAAAGACAATCTTGGGAGCGAGGGCTGAGAAATGTTAAAGCATTTAGCATACAGGTTTCGTGGCTTTCGGCTGCGCTGCTCCAAATTTAGTCAATTGTGAACTAAATTTGCAGAGCACCGTTTCTGTGCTTTCATAGTTTATGCTGCTTCGAATACCCCAAGATAGCGGCGAGCCAGATCATGTGCTCCCACGGCCCACGTTACAAGCACGCCATCCCAAGGACCATAACTGCAAAAGCCGCCATCTTATTTTTTTTTTTTCTTTTTCTTCTTCGGCTGCTTCTTCGCCCGAGGCCATTTCCGGCCACTCCCTACTTTTAAACAAACAATCTCACAAGGGGTGAAAATGAAGTCCGCGTTAGCATTTCTTCGGAAATCGAGCTTGGGGACTAATGCGGCAACGCTGAGCGCATCGCGCGAAAGTGCAAACGACCCTCTGACACAGTGACACGTAAGAAAGTCCTACATAAATTCTGCAGCAATCAGCTGATGGCGACAGCAGACGGGGACGCGTACTCTTCTGTCCTCAAAAAGAACGAGATGGTCTCGTTGGTAGAAACCGGTCTGTCGACTTTTCTCGCACTCCACGGAGTCTAGTAAGATCCGCCGTAATTAGGTTGATGCCCAGTTTTTGCGCGTGAAGGGGTTGAAGCGCTTTCCCAGGACGAACGATAACGAGACGAAAGTAAGGCAAAACATAATCCTAGCTTCTGAAATTAATCCACAAACCTCCTATAGTAACAGGACACCGCTCCTCAATGGAAGGCCCCCCTGCCCCATGATGATCGCTCTCGACCCTCCCTTTTTCTTTTTTTCTTTTTTTTCTGCACGACAAAGTTTTTGCAACAAGACGCAAAGTTCCCTCTTATACTCACAGAGTAGCTGCTTTCCAACGTCGCCGCCACCAAAGACACGACGAAACAAACTTTCACTGCTGCGGTCATATTTTCGATTCTTTTGACAAGTTTTCAAACTCAAACTGCCCACGAACTTTCTACACGTCAACCGACTTCGAAAGCAGACGTAAATGATACCGATGACAGTAGAGCTGGAACAGCTCGCGATCTCGTTACGCCTTTTACGTGCTCTAACACCAGCGTTGCCTAGCGGCGTCTTCTGTCGTTGCCTTCACTTGCATACGTGGAGGCCGTAAATGAGAAGAATTACCTAGTAAATTATTTAGACTTGAACCCATTAATTAAATATATATTATTAATTTTCATATAAAATGAAATTTATTAATTGAGCTCGTTTTTTGTAGCAGAGGAAAAACCGAGACGGAAACTCACTCAGGCCGTCGCAAGCAGACACGAAACATTTCAGGGCGGTAGTCAGCAACCATGGTTAATCGTCGCCGGTGTTTTTTTATTTTTACCATCGATTTTTATCGTGTTGGCTTGTTGCGGTTTGTGTCAGTTGTGCTGTGATCCGAGTTTACCGACTTCACGACGCAAACACCCCAAAAGTAGGCGACGGGGCGTCATTCGTGTCCGTCGAAGTTCCAATCGTGGCTGTGTTTACCCAATGTCGCGTATGCGCGCGTCTCGACAGTGTCAGCGCAGCACCTCGCTTCCGCGGAGCCACGCTGCTCTGAAACAGTCCACGTGAAATGTCACTCGGAACTTCCAGCGCATCGTCGTCGAAGTGCAGTTCGGCGAAACGCTACGGGTGCTTCGGCTACCGGCGTCTGCAAGGATCTCGTTCAGTGCAGCCGTCACGGTACAGGACGTACGCTGTTCGGTACACCGCAGTCGCGCTCAGGACAATCGGACTCATTGTTTTGTACTACTGCTTTTCCATCGGAATAACCTTCTACCAGAAATGGTTCATCAAGGTAAACGACAACACTCCGTTCATTTTGACCAGTCGCCTAGTTACGGACCGGCGTCACATACGTGGAAGCAGGAAACCATGTTGCTGATTGTCCGTTTTCTTGCGATAGGTCCGAACGGATCTATCTTTGCCGAGGCGGACATAATAACTGCCGCGGTTGGAACGTGGGGGTTAGGAGTATCTAATCGGAGGAGGAGGAACGATCGAGCTTTCAAGGTTGTGAAGGATCCGCGTTCGGAAAAACTCGTGTTGTCGTTTGCCATATGGCTTGCAGATGGACACGCTTTGCGCTTGTCATATGTTTGAAAGCACGAATTTCGTCAACAGAGTGGCCTGTGACATCTTTCTGACGTCATGGCCTGTTACGATGCCTTGTAGGGGCAGCTTGCCATAGGCAGTAAGCTGTCAGCTAGGAAGCTTTTCTTTTTCGCAGGCAGATAAGTACCGCCTGTTTTTGGCGTTTTGGTCCAACAGGTGGCATGTCTAACGATTGCACGATTATATGGCAGTTGTGTTGTGATGAAGGAGTGGAATTTCAGGATTACTATGTTACGTCAGTATATAGACCTTTTTCATGTACTCTCATCCCCAGCCAGCTAATAGGCATATCTGGTATGGGCGATGAAAAAATAATAAAATTTTTCAACCTGTAAATAGTAAAAGAATAGGGGGGAGGCATAACGATAATGTGGGACGGTTACGTTTATATCATGTCTTCTATTGGCGTGGCGACGGCGAAAGAGAGTTTTCGCCCATACTGGAAAGGACATCCATTCAAGATGGCGGCGCTCTTGTGAAAAAGGTCTATAGGTGGTATTCACTGGCGACCATAGTTGAGCTCGCTGCTGCTGAGCTTGTGTTGACAGCAAGCTTCTACAACACTTCTAACACATACATTGCACAACAAGGTTGTCTTCTTTGGGATGCCATAAATAAGACCTCATCCCGAGCATGTGCTGTGGGCAGTAACCTCAAATATGGCATCCAGTGAACACCACCTATAAATGGCTTGGTATCAGTTATGCATGTGCACCTAAATTTAATTATGGCAGCCCTGTGTCACGCTGCAACCACAACAGATAGGTTCCTACCTGTTGATGGGAGGCCAGAATGTTCTTTCAAGGGCACGGAGGAAACCACCTTAGCCCCTGTACATAATTACCTGATGCAGCTAAGAGATCACAAATGAAGCTAGCTTCAACCTAGCTTTTCCATGAGCTCTGACGACATACAGATTGAAGAAGTAGTACGGAGGAACCAAACTGCCTTACCTTATACTGATAACCTTAAGAATTTCATATAAAACTGCTTTCAAATGAAATAGGTATCAGTGTTCTGAAAGTGTAGTCACAACTAACTGAGAGATTGTGCACTTTTAAGTGAGTTAGTAAGTAAATTTGGTGCAATGTACGCTTGGCAACACTATGAATTGCTGTGACGGGCAGAGGGAATGAGCTGCCATACAAGGTACTGCACTCGGAGGCATAAAGGCTAAGGGCTATGTCCTTGGAGGTGGGAAGCTATGAAGATGAAGACCTCAAAAGCAAGCTAGGTTCAGCAGGGAGGCTTCATAGCACGCAGGAAACCTTTTAATGGTGTCCTTTTCAGAACTTGTATAATAAAGGCTTCTCTATGCAGCTGGGTGCTTGCACCTTGTACCCTATCGTTGGCAGAAGAAAAATGCCAAATGCCCCTCCTTCCCTTGTGGAAGGTGGAGATTACCATGCAGAGGAAATGCCACACAGGAAGGTCGGATTGCCACGTGACATCCCCTCTGACTATTGGCTCCCACTAAACAGCCCATAGTTTTCCTGATTGTAGATCAGTTAAGCTATAATAAACACAATGTGCTTTCAAAGTAAGATATGAGTAATTTCTCAAGCCAATCTTTGATCATGCGCCTTCATTCCTACAAAAGCAATATTTTTCAATCTGATATTGCACTCGAGTGCTGTAATCGGAGGCCTTCCCCTTTTATAATAAAGCAGATATAAATTGGCACAAAATTGAAGATGTGCACCATGCTAGACTTAAGCAATTTTCTTTCAGTAGTGTATAAATTAGTGCTGCCATCAGATTTAGATTTCACTGAACTGATTGCACTGCATAACTTAAATGTGTGAAGTCAGTGATGGGAGGAGCTACAATGTAATCACGCATTTAAAAAAAAAATCTCGTTACCCAAGTGATAATATGCTAGCATCTCCCAAGATGCTAGCATATTATCACTGCAGTTTTTGCTTTGCCAATATTGAAAAAATCTCGCTTGATAAAGTTCATTTTGGCATGTCCACTGGACTTGAGAATATTTTGTCATCTGCAATTGAATGCGATATTGCTTAATATCACGAACCAAAACCTTTCTTGGTATTCTAGAGGCAAAGTTCAGATGGTCCTCTTCTAATTGTGGCATAAGTGAGGCTTTCCCATTATGACCATCTTGGTAAACATAGTTTTGAACGTGAGAGTGCAGAGAATTTAAAGATGTTTACAAATTCATTGCAGGAGTTCCGGTTCCCACTCACAGTGGTAATATGCCACCTTGTAGTAAAGTTCATCTTATCTGGTGTGATCCGCCTGGTCTTTCAAATGTGCACGGGTCGGCCAAGGATTCTGCTCACGTGGTCTGTGTATGTCAAGCAGCTCGCCATCACAGGAGTTGCAAGTGCCCTCGACATCGGCTTCTCCAACTGGAGTTTCGAGTTCATCACAGTATCCCTGTGAGTTGCTTCCTGATAATGCATTTCAAACACAAATGCTGGGATAGTAATTAAATAGTTAACTTCCTGAACGGTCCTATTATGCTTTCTTAGTTTCACGGGCACCGCTAATTACTTGCGATTAATGTTGAAGTTTGTGTTTCTAACCTCCCTCAGACGCCTTAAAGAGGTTGAGTGCATTTTGTGCTAGACAGGTATGGTTTTAATTGGTCTGCTTTCTGATACATCTCAAACTATTTGTTCTAGGTACACAATGACGAAGTCGACGTGCATCATCTTCATCCTTGGTTTTTCGCTAGTTTTTGGTCTTGAAAAAAGGGTGAGTATTCAGCTGTTACGACTGCTGAGCTCTGTGCACATAGGTATATCTCTCTTTACGGCAAACTACTCTGTAGGGCAACTAGGACAACATGTGCATTTTGTTCACTAGCACCAGCAGTTACTTCTTACAAAAGTACATTGACATGAACCCGGCCCAGATGTTGAAACTGGGAAAGGGAGGTAACAAGAGGTGAAGAAAATGAACGGTTTTAAAAGGTGCACATGTAGCCCCGGTTGCCTTGTGTGTTTATTTTTTCTTCACAACTTGCTGCCACCAACAGACGCAACAGTTCAGTTTGAGATCTTCACTCATTTTGCTAAATACTGAAGCATACAAAACTGAATACCAAAAGATGTTCCGCAACTCTAGCCTTGGTTCATCTCTCAAAATTTACATTTTGGTTGTAGCAGCTTTACTTGTGATAAGTTATATGGTCTGTGGTTTCTACATCATAGCAATGTCTTGCATGTGGTTACACGAGACATCATTTTTCGCCTAGATCTTTTAGGGGCAGAATATGTGCTAGGTGCACTGTTTGATATCTGAGAAAGTAATGGTTTAGACCTAAATTAGCCCCCCCCCCCCCCCCCCCCCCCCGGACCAAGGACTATTACTTTTAAATCTTTTATTTAAACTCTTCTCGCACTAAATTACCATTCATTCATTCATTTTCCCTTAAAGGTCCTCTTTCGAGGACATTAGATAAGGGGGGGAAGGGGGGGGGGGGGATCAATCGCTTATCAGTCAACGAAAGAAACAATGAAACAACAGCAACTATTTCATCAACAAACACGCACTCAATAATAATCCGCCAAGGAACCAAAATTAGAGAGCAAACAGGCAGTCATTATTCCCCTTGAAAATGCAAAAACAAGGAGAAACGGAAAGCGTCCAGGCATATTGTTAAGGCGATGCACTCAGGTAGTACATTCCATTCTGAAATCGCTAGGGGAAAAAATGAGTTATTAAATGCGTTAGTGGATCCAGAGATGTGCTGCACACGATTAGAGTTTGTTAATCTACGAGAGGATCGGGGAAAAGGTTGTAAAAGCATCGATCTAATGTCCGGATGATGGTGGAATATTTTATGAAATAGGCAGAGACGCAAGCATTTACGGCGGGTAGCTAATGAAGTTAGGTTTAATTGAGACTTTAGAGCCGTAACGCTAGCAGTATGATTAGGGATGTCGCGAACCACCCTAGGTTCGATTTCGAAAGGTTTCGATATTTGCGAAGCGAACTAAGGTTCGATTCCGAAAATTTTCGATATTTTCGTACCGACCGAGGTTCGATTTCGAAAAATTCGCAACTTTTGACCACAGCGGAGTTTCGAATTCGAAAATTTCGAAGCTTTCACGGTTTCTAAAATTTCGAATTCGATTATTTCGAATATCTTTTTACTTCAGGTTCGATAAATTCGAAGATTTCGAAATTCTATGTAAAAAAAAAATCGAAAACTTTGAACGCTTCGAATTTTTATAGACATGAACTTCGAACAATCGCAGATTTCGAATTTCTTTTTGCATAAAGTTCGAAAAGTCGAAGGTTTCGATTCTCTTTTAACGCTAACTTAAAAAAAAAAAAAAAAAAAAAAAAAAAAGCTTCGAAGATTTTGAATTCCTTTCTAGTCCAAGTTTTCAAGGTTCGAAGTCCGATTTTCAAGTTTTCCCACAGTTTCAGTTTCAAATAACGTTTTCACGACTCACTTGTTTTCACAAAATCAAGTTTAGAAAAGTTAAAGTGTGATATCTAGATTCTGCGAAGTTGGTCAGGCAATTAAATGAGACGACGAGTGTCCCGGATGTGCTGGAATATTTGCCAGTGCAGAATTGTGATTGCCAGCCCCCGGGGGGGGGGGGGGGGGTCTTTAACTTGCATCACGCAGTCGTGATTGCACGAACACACTGTTTTACGAGACTCATCCAGTTCGAAACGGCCAGGCGCGAGCAGGAGGTTGAGGCTCAGAAAAACCTTGAAGCGACCTGGCAAACTAGCTCGCCACCCCTTGCACGCTGGTAGTAATCCGATCCGGTGAAGTTTATAATTGTCCTGGAGGTTTATATTCTGGGACGGAGGAATCGCCTCGCAAAGAGCATAAAAGCCGACACAACTCGAGGTCGAGGAGCGTTCTACCATACAAGTGGCGTCGGAAGAGGAAAAACTGGGGGAAAGAGGGTAGCGGGGGGGGGGCTTCAGCCTCCTTTTTTCCCTTGCAGGTATTTCGGACTGTTAAAGGGGAAAGAGGGCGTGGTCAAGCTTATTTTAATCTGAAATTATTTATGCATATGTATAGCTACTGTCGCTCTTCACTGCATAAAAGGTTGCGTAGATGGTCATTGTTAGAAACTCGTTGTCAGAAAGCACTGCTCGTCACATGCTTAGTGGTTCGGAAGTTCAAAGCTGTCTTCTCGACCTAAACACCTGTGCCGATAGTAACAAAAAAAAAAAAAAAAGTATAAATGCGGGATTAAAAAGCAGGTGAAAAATAAAACTATCAAGAATTCGTCGGAAGTGTTCTATTCTTGCATATTCAGAGGTTCAGAACTTCGAAACAAGTTTCTTTTACCAAAGTGTGTACAGGCTAAAAGAAACACGTCCCAGAAACGTGAAGCGAAAAAAAAAAAGTTTTCTTTAAATGACGTGCTGAACTTGAACACTATTAGAAATCTTCTCCCATGAGTTAATTTATTCCTTAACGTGAAAAAACAATAAATATATTATTTCGTATTCTGCAGATGGCAATGATATGTAGTGTCTGTGGTGTTAATTTAAATGCGATACCCCAAACAACTTTGACGAAAATAAATATCAAGTTTAGGTCATAATTGCATGCAGATACATGTTTGGACATTTCTTCGGAACTCAGGTTGAATAACAATAATCACATCTTAAGACGGCACTTACCTAGCTATACATAGATCATTCTTAAAAAAAAGTATAACATATCTACCATAAATAGCTCCGGCTGCAGCGTGCTTCAAATCTGGCACAAACGATAATCGTCAAAAACCCGTCGTCCTTCCTCGGTCCTTCGGGGATTTATTTCTTTAAACCTAAGTATGCCAGAACATTGAAATAAACGACATTGTCTTTCGTAAGGAACGCAGCACCGCGTGTAAAAGTTCGAGAAAAAAAAATTAGGAATGTACCCCACTACTTGAAATAAAATGAAACCGTCCGCCGGTATTTCGAAGTTCGACGAACGTCGAACTTTTACCCTAAACGTTCGAAGTTCGTCGAACTTCTGACTTTTCAGAATTCGAAAGTTCGAAACTTTTCGAATTCTCTTGATAAAGAAGTTCGAAAGTTCGAAATTCATCGAATTTTTTTGTCAGTCAAGTTCGAAAGTTCGACAAGCATCGAACCTTCCAGCGCAATAAGTTCGAAAGTTCGAAAAAGATCGAATTTTTTAGCGTAAGAAGTTCGACGGTTCGAAAAGCGTCGAACTTCTTAGCTTAACAAGTTCGAAAATTCGACCTCCGTCGAATTTTACGATATAGACAATTCGAAAAATCGAAATCTTTCGAACCTTTCGAACCGCTTGATTCGATCATCGAAACTTCGATTCGAAAAAAGTTCGCGGCATCCCTAAGTATGATCGTATACAGAGAGTATGTAGCGAGCGGCACGATTTTGGATGGCGTCAAGTTGGGTGGTAAGGTAGATTTGGTGAGGGCTCCAGTTGGCGGCGGCATACTCAAGTTTTGGTAGACGAAGTACAGCCTATAGTCTGGAAAATATGGCACTTGGTTCCTAGACTTGGTTGTTAAGCTTAACTCCAGAGGGTATTTTTTGGGAGGCCCACATCAAAGTGTGCGAATTCTGATGTGCCTATGTTTTCTCTTCATGTGGCGTGACCTGATCCAGCGTTGCTCCTTGGTGTTCATTGTGCTGCTCATAGCACTAGGCCTGTTCATGTTCACATACCAGTCGACGCAGTTTAACACTGAAGGCTTCTTTCTGGTGCTGAGTGCCTCATTCCTGGCTGGGTTACGATGGACCTTAGCACAGCTGGTGATGCAGCGAAAGGAAGTGGGTGAGTGACTTTGCCTGGTTAGAGTTCACTAGAGTGCCTCAATGGCCTTCTGTTTAGGGTGATACCATCCTTTGTAGTGCCCGATGTCGACAGCACGCGCACACAGGAAAAATATGAAAAAATCTCTGAACACAAAATGTCGCCGTAGCACAGTCAGTGCCAAGAGCGCGTGCAGGGACATGCTCCTTCACGTGCTTCAGAACAAAATGGCCAGATGTCATCACCCTAAGCAAAGCGCACATGAAGGCACCCTAGGGTTCACTTTCAGAGATATACAGGGTGTTTCACAAAAGGTGGACAAATTCAATATTGTGAAAACTATATGTCGTAACAAAAAAAGGCTTGTGTTGTTTTGGTCCTGGGCCAGGGGCCTATTTAGGAAAATTATTAAAGTCCGGGATAATTAGACTGTTAATTATTTTTGTGTAATTAACTTTTTTTAATATTGTGTCAAAGCAAATTGTTGTGTGTATGTTTATACAGCCGGAAGTTAGTCTGCCTCAATGGGCATCTGGTGTCTCGGCTGTAGATGAGCAATTTAGCCAGTGCATTACAACCGCTAGCCTGGGGTCTTTAACATGCACCACACACTAGTGATACATGGCCGCACGCCGGTACGATGCTCATCCAGATCGAAACAAGCAGAGGCGGGAATTGAACTAATATTGTGTTTAAGGGCATGGTTTCAATTAGAAAATTGCTCTGCATCATCGAAAAGCACTAAATAAACAAATTGCAGAACGATAGAATGCACGTGCAGGATTTTACGGCTTTCTGAAAAACCATACAAATTTGACGGGTTTTTAAGTTTCGGGTTGCAATCGGAGCGCATCTAGGCCCCGACGGCACCGCGCCCCGTGGAGAAGTAGTGCAGCCAGCCGCTGCTGCGTTGCGCGAGGACAGCGCAGCAGAGGTTGGTTGCACTATTTCTCAATGGGGTGCGGTGCTGTCGGTGCCGAGAAGCGCTCCGCTTGCAAACCGAAACGTAAAAACCCGTCGAAGTTGTGCGGCTATTCAGAAAGCCTTAAAATACCGCGCGTGCCTTCTATCATTCTGCAATTTGTTGATTTAGTGTTTTTTGATAATGCTCAGCAAGTTTCTAATTGAAACCATGCCCTTAAACTCAATATTTAAAAAATTAATTATGCAAAATTAATTAACAACCTAATTATTCCGAACTTTAGTAATTTTCATAAATAGGCCCCTAGCCTAGGACCAAAACGACACAAGCCTTTTTTTTGGTGTGATGCGTAGCTTTTCGCAATATTGAATTTGTTCACCTTTCGTGAAACAACCTGTATACTGCTGGTCTTCTAGGCTAGCTTTTCTCTCTCTAGAGTTGACCAGTCATAGTTATTTCTTGCCAATAAAACAGATAGTGCTATACTCATTGTAATATAATATTGTCCTGACGATTCCATCATGCATACTGCTGTGTGGATCCTCCGCGTGGTATTTGCCATTGGTGCAGTCAGCTGTCATTGTTTGAAACTGCTGGATGTGAACTCAAATTACTTTCTCTACTGGGCTGTTTTTTAATGTTGTTTAAAAATTACTGAGAGATGTCCAGGTCGGTAAAGTCCTGTCCAAACAGGATACTCCAGAAATCATGAGGCGACACCACTCTGTCGTGTCGTGCGGCGGTCCGCTTCCGTCTGTTCTCTTTTGCCAGGGGGAATGGTTTTCTCCGTCAAAGTTTGCTTGTGTACCTCACGGGCGTCTTGAGCATGCTTATCACATGGGTCCGGACAGCCACTCACACATTCTGTTGGCTGTTGGTCAATCGCTCATGGCCTCCACTGCTATTCAAGTCCCGAAAACGGGAAAGGGAAGGGCTGTGTTCCAAATCGTACCCAAATAGATCCGAGTTACTCCAGCGGGTCGTGTCATGCGATAACACAGATATAGCGATGCTGGACACGGGTAGGTTTTCAAACGAAAAGGCCAAGGATGGACAGACAGCAGCCACACCATTGGCAGGTGGCGTGTGACGTCAGGTCTGTTGAGCACCGAAGCCACTGAAGAGCGGAGGAAGCGAGAGGAAAGTCGTGATGTTTGCTTGGTGGTGTTCAAACAGACATCGGACTGCCGGACTTCAACCGCTTCAACTTCCACAACTTTTGACTGTGTCGCCTCACGATTTCTGAAGTGTCCTGTTTGGACAGCCCTTGATATGGTTTCAGATAAGTGGGTTAATTGTAAATATTTTAATTATTTTGGTAACATAGCCCTTGTCTTGATGCATGTTCTATGTTTTCTTTCTTGGAACAGGCCTGGGCAATCCTATAGACATGATTTTCCATGTCCAGCCATGGATGATCCTTGGCCTCCTCCCATTAGCTATTGCATTTGAAGGCAAGCATTTCCATTGTTCTGTGATTGGAGCACGGCGTTTTGCCACAGACATGGTTAGAGCCTTGAATATTCGCCTGCATTTATTATTTGGTGGTAATCCGGATAAACAGAAAGGCAAACTGTTTCAGTCAAATTAAATTAGGAAACTGCCATAAAGCAATATGCTAGAAATTAGACGCACATTCTAGAGCATGTCGTGACCAAGGTGCTACTGCCAGTACTGCCAGTGCCAGGAATGATAAAGAAGTTATTGGCTAGAACAAAGTACCCAAGTGCTTGGAGGATGACCCAAGAAAGCCGGGGTGGTATGTTTGGCAGGAATGAGCTTTTGTCTCCTGTGCAATCTTGATTATTAGCTAAGACCATCAGTGATGCAGCAGTTAAATGTGATTGCAGTAATGTATCGTTAATATGATTACCTTGCTATGTAGACACAATTTTTGGGGAGATACCGGGTAAATGCACACACTTTTATCTCATTATTGTGAACAGTTCACATTATGAATGATTTTTGTGTGGAATGAAGGTGTCCATACCAACCCTTTGAGGGTTAATATGGACATCCGAGTATGCACAAGGGCGCTGCCATGCAGGTTTCAATTTCAATTTTCTCCCTACCTCCTAACTGGGCTGTTGATTTTATTTTGTTGTGTAGAGCAATATTTTGTCTTGTAATAACAACTGTTGATGGAATGTGGAAGGTTTTGTTTGGGGGACTTCTGTCTTGGTTTGTGCCTTCGTTGTTCCAGAAAGGCAAATCTATGTCCTTGAACCTTGCGCTTTATGACAAACACAGATATAGAAATTAGTAATAAACTAAATAAGAAAGTATCAGTTTCTAATAAAGAAAAAAAGTTAATTAGGGGGGGGCATGGCCTGGGAGGGTCAACTTTTGAACCATCGTCTCAAATTGATTCAAACTTTCAGGGTGAATTGAACCCCATTAGGATTGATGACATCTAAAGTTTCAGTCTTATAGGCCGATTCTACAACATACTATGCTTAACAAGCTCCAGAAAAAAGTTACTTTATTAGGAAGTGTATTTTAGAAAAATAATAATTGCAATCCATAAAATGTTTGGTTTAATGTGAAGTAGAATACCCATAGTGCAAGTTAAGGTGAAAATTAAATGTAGAAAATGCAATTCTAGAGAAAAACAACAACACCCCAAAAGAGCGAATGATTTTCACAAATTTCTGCACTTTAAAATATTCAGTTTTTGTCGTGAAGAATTTAGCTTTCTCAGATTATGAGAACCTTAACCTGTTCCTCAGAAAATTTCACTCCAAGACACCACTGAATGAAATCTTCACACTTTCAAAATGTCCAATGATACATTTCCTCATACCAAATTTCCTGCCAAAAAGTGAAACTGAGAAAAATGCAGTTGAAGTTTCAACTTTAGGTTTCTTACTTTTCTGTGAGACCGAGGTAGGCGAAATTCACCTGGTGCATTGTTAGCACCTTCCTCTTTGAGACTTCCTTGTTCCCCTGGCGATAGCTACCAGTTTGTGTTGTTTGTAGGCACGCTAGCTTTTGTAGCAGGCATACCTTCACAGATAAACTGGCAAGAACTAAGAGGCAAATCGCACTAAAGAAGAGCAGCAAAGCAGGAAGAGGATCTGAAGTGGAAGATACTGTAAAAGTGTTACTGAAGATAACAAACTATCACGTAACTGGGAATGACCAATCGTAAACCCTGTTTCAGGTCTCAACCAATAAGATTGCCCATACCAAATTTTCAGATTTTTTTCTGTTTGGATGTATTGGGCTTTCCTGGCCATTGATACTTGTAAACTTGGAAAGCTTCTACGGGCAAAATCTAGAGTAAATGGCACTTCCAATGGGGGCAAGGTGTTCTAGCTATGTTAAATAAGTATGAAGCAGCACTGAATAGAAAACACAAAAAACTTGCTCCTTGCTGACTCGGAGGACTGCCGACCTGTCGAAAATAATTTATTGCGAGATGAATCCTGCATGTTTATAAATGAAAGTTTCTGAAACCATTCTTTTGAAGTTAATAAACATAAACATATCCTTAAAAAAAAAAAAAAAACATTTTTTTTTTCAGAAAAATTTGAATTCCAAGGCCATGTCCCCCCTTAAGGCCGCTTGAAAAGAGTGACCCCAGGTTGCAAGGCCAAGGTGCCACTTTGCATAGTAATGTGTCTCGAAAAGTATAATTCGAGAAGAATAGCTTAGGTTGGAGACATCCAGACATTAATTAACTTTGAGCCCATGGATCAGTGTGTCTTCGATATATAAATGTATGTCATAAAGCAGTGGTTCTCAACTATTGATGTTTCGTGGACCCCTTGTGGATCGGCAGAGATAATGGAGGGTCCCCTTCGTAGAGAGGGGAAGGGAAAGGTATATGTTAATTATGATAATGATTTAATAAGTGGATATAACTAAGGGCTAGGGTGAAGTAGACTTCTCTCATTGACATACACATGAGAAAACTCACCCGAAAATTAGAACATTTCTTCTCAGTCCGAAAAAAGAACTTTTATCGCCAGGCTTGCCTGAATAGGCAGGGCTTTGCGGACCCCTAGACTGCCTTCGCAGACCCCCATTTGAGAACCACTGCCATAAAGCATGCTACAATTTTTCTGCATGGTACCAAAATTTGTGTTCGGCATGTGGAAAAGAAGCCCGGCACTTAATAAGGATTAATGAGACATGACTGCACCAGGAATGTTAGAATAGTGGAATGGAATGTATTATTAAAATGGGTGCAAGCCAAATTGCCTCATTGTTACAAATAACCCCTTAGGTAGTCTTCTTTGTAGATGCGGAGGGCCTCATTTGGCCCCCCCGCAGTCTCACTGAAATATGCAGTGAAAAATTACAAACGCGTTTGAGGAACTGAGAATCAATATTTGACTAATACCCGCGCCACACGGGCAACTCGAATGCCGTTTACAACGAATGACATTCGCCTCAAATGTCATTTGACTGGTGCTCCACGGCCTGCACAAATGACATTCGCAGCGAATGCCATTTGTGCAGGCCGTGGAGCACCAGTCGAATGACACTTGGGGCGAATGTCATTCGTTGTAAACGGCATTCGAGTTGCCCGTGTGGCACGGGTATTAATCCTTGGAGGTCATGTGTCGAATGTCACCCGGCAAAAAATGATTCCTGTTGCGGTCAGATGCCGGGTTTCCCTCGACAGTCTCATTTCTGTCTTTCGGTCAATTGTTGCACACGCCCCAACAATTACGACTTGTGCCATTTATCGTCAGGAGTGTAAGCATAATGCCTTTATCTCTTTTATCTTATTAATGTGGCAATTTGGGCCAGTTGGCTCATGATCGTAGACAAGCGCCGAAAAAATAGGCAGGGACAAGAAGGTGTCGTAAATGACGTCAACTTCTTGGCCCTTCCTATTTTTTCGGCGCTTGTCTGCGCTTATGCAAACCAAGATTCCGAGACTCCTAGTTGTACAGTCCTAGATCTAGCACCTTTGGCTGTTTTTCATGAACACTTTGATAATGAATTTTATTTTTTGACCACTAAATGCCTGCTTTGTTTTAGTGCAAGATAATTCTGACTCGAGGGGTTAGCAAGGCAAAAAGTAACATTACCCCAAAAGGTGAAATCTATAGTCGGACAAATTCATTCGGACATCTAATTCATTGTGCTTTGTATAGTCTAGTTTCTAGAACCTGTAATGAGTGTCCGTAGGAGATGGCAACTCTTTCTTGTTCCCAGGTTGTTTACCCTGCGGATAAATATATATATCGTAAAATATTTGGGGAGCACCCACCTTGTTTTCACTAAAGGCTGGGTTAGCTTAGACATGCGCGCTTGTTCGGTCAAATTGGGCAGTTAAGGTATAATGTGCAGAATTTCCAAGTTTGGGGAATGTAAATAGTAGGCGCTTGAACGAAAGTGGGCGCTTCTGTGGTATTTTACGGTATATAAATGACTAGACATCTGCGGTATTTTTCGGCATATAAATAACTACACATGTTTTCACCTCAAGAAGAAAGGAAGTTTTGCGCATTGTTCATAACCGCGCAAAGTATTTCTTACAGGATTTGGTTGTCGGAGGAAAGAGCAATGTTTTTGGCATTTGAAGCGTGTACGTCTTGATAAGGTAACATATATCTAATCTAAAATGCACCTATATCTATCTTAATTATCTACATAAGGGGGGGAAATTAGTCGTGATACGTGAGGAGCCGAACTTTTTTTACTATGGTTCTTGTGGTGAAAACGAGTGTAGACATTTTTTTTTTGCCAAACCTGGATAAATTTGTTTTTCGCCTTAAATTTTCTACGTTGCATCTGTCTGGTAACGTGAAATAGAATATTCGCACGATACGGGAAGCTATCGCAAACCGAGGAAATATTAGTTCCCGGACAACGTACGACCTGACCATTCTCGGGCGGAGCAGCCGGGCACTTTTGCCTGCGGTAGATGCCCAACGGTCATGACCTGTTTCTCCGCTTGCAGGAATCCCAATTGCAACCTCTGAGAAGGTGTTTCGGTTCCACGAGGTGGAGATGCTGGTGCGCACGGGCCAGTACGTACTGGCGGGGTCGGTGCTCGCCTTTTTCATGGAGCTGAGCGAGTACCTACTCCTCACATACACGTCGAGCCTGACCCTGTCCATCGCAGGCATCGTCAAGGTGCGTTGTCTGACTCGTTCACTCCCAGAGCTACCACTTGGGTTTCGAGATCGTCACAAAGTACACCGAGATTCCCGAGATTTGATTCGTTGCTGCTCAGCAGCTTAAGTATTAATAGTATGGTGCCTGAAGTGCATGTCTGACTGGCATGCTTAGCACCTTTTTACATCTACAAAGAGGCAACACGTTGGGGGTTGCGGAGGGAATGGCAGAGATTGTCACGACTCCAGTGGTTGGTTGTCGAAAGGACCGCACGGCAGGTAACGAGACCTCCCTCTCATCGCTCTGTCCAAACCCATGGCTGCCGTGGTAGCCGTGGATCGGTCGACTGGCAGACAGGTTACGGCTGAACGGACCTCTCTGGTCTGCCTCTGCTGCCAAATACTTACTAGGTGGTTCTGAGAAACACCAATATGTGTTGCAACAATTTAAAGATAGGGTGCACCAAATTGCGACATCACGGAGGCAGAGTGAATGCATCTGTCGGATTGTGGGCGGGAATTGTAGCAGTGGGCTGACGTCTAAAAGAACATGCTGTGTGTAACTCAATAATGCAAATTTCACATTTTTTAAAGAAATTTAAAAAAAATGTTATTTTTTTTGTTTTGTTAAAGCAGGTATGTAGGCAAGCAGGTTAAGCACTGTGTCGTGTGTGGGGTTGTCCTGCGTCTCTCCATGCCCGAGGTTTACAATGTCTATCATTATTTAGCTAGCAAAATGCATGCACTTTTTACCATTTGTGCTCAGACAACATTGACAGTTTGTGACGTCGCCAATCTACGGAGCGCATCACTGAGTGAAAGCTAACTGAACTAAAAAATCCTCTCAGTCAGGTTTCAAACCTGCATTTCTGGGCGTAATGTGAGCACTCTGACCTCTGCACCAAAATGGCAGCTGGATAGGAACGTTTTAGACAAGTTATGTGAACCCAAATAGTACAAATAAAATTGACCTTTCCGCCCTTTTGTTTTTTCCACATTTGCTTATCTTGGAATTTTCACCGTTGTGGAGGGGGGGGGGGGCTTGGACCACCGTCAAGCTGCTTTGCAGCTTTTTGTCCTTATTTTCTATTTTAAAATATGCAACTAAATTGAGGTTTATTACTGATGTTTCCATCTGTTACGTTGAGGCTACTGGTAAATGTTAAACTGGGAATCCCGTGCCTCAACTCACACTAGTTGCTGTGCAGAGGCCAGCTACACTACAGCCATGCTCAGCTGCTCTGTTTACTCATTCCACTGCCTGTGCTGGGCAAGCAAACCTGGTTGGTGACATCGTGACTCTTGTGGTAATGGCCGCTGCAGGCAGTCGCTAGGTCAAGTAAAGTAGCCGGTGGTTCAAAAAGCTGTTTAAGCAAAACCACAGCTTTACTAGGGCTAGTGCGATACGTGCATATGGAAAGGTAGAATATAAGAGCACGGTATACTAATGAGAATTTTTGTATTTGTGACAGTGGGGATTCTTTTAGTTTGTTCATTCATTGCTTGCCAAATCACTGCTTTGTGCACGGCTTATGGCCCAGAGCCTCTTGCGCTACAGCAAGCTAAGCAGTTGTGCCAAACAGTCTGGTTGATCTTTAGTTTTTGAAACTGTGTGGAAGAGAATCAGTTGGTCAGTTTGGATGGTCAACATAGGGCTGCTGCTGATGGATTCAGCGAAGGTCGTAAAGGCCTCCCGGTTTTAGGCCAGTGACTTGTATTCTTTGAGCAGCCCAAATCTCCTTCTCTCCTTCCAGGAGGTGTGCACGCTGTACCTCGCCGTCAATTACAGCGGGGACGAAATAAGTTTCATGAACTTTGTCGGCCTTGTCATCTGTCTCCTGGGCATCGCTCTGCATGTGCTTGTCAAGTCACTCAACAGCAACGGTGAGGGTTCTACACTGTCTCTGATGCTGTGGAGACGAAAGCGACCCAAGCTGTCATTGGTTGGAGGAACCTATGTAGCCTGACGGCGAAAGCACATTGCAGGCTTCTGCTCAAAAGTGTATGAAGTTCACACCCTGCCATGGGAGGGCTAACTGAAGGTAGCACTCACGGTTGAAGTGGTTGCTATATCTGCTGAATGGCTGAATACTCTAAAAACTAAGGTGCAGGTGCTTGCCTGGCCTGCTCAGGCTTACTTTTGTAGGTGCTTACCAAACTGGTTTCTGAGGGCACGCAGGTGAAGTGGGGGCACCAAGGGGTGTCGTGTCACAGGAATACTCTGGTAATATGCCCTTAATGGAAGTATATAATATCGCAGCCCGGGCGTACAGTGACCGGATTCTAGTACTAATGGATCCCATGATAGAGTGGAAGTTGACTAACGCCGTGAATTTTACCTCTCAGAGGACCGATCTGTTAATCAGATGGCTCTAGTTTTGACTTTTATGTGTCTGTGTTGAACCTGAACTTGAGGTGAATGTTACATAGAAATAAAAACCACTAAAGCCTGTGCTTGTCCTATTAACCAATGCTGGTGCTTGCTGACACCTAACGTGGTTGATGTTTCTGGTATGTTTTGTTCCACCTAAAGCAGAATTACGTCTGCAGTAAGAACTTTAAAGTTTCGTCAAAATATTCTACCCAATGCAATTCCAATTGCGCATTTGAATTGCATGAAAAGCTGCATTGTCATGTTTGTACATATACTACCATTTGAAACTTGCATGTGTGAAGAAGAAATTGTTTGCTATGCAAAACCGTTACTGGAGATATGGAAACAGAGATATGACATAGGAAAAACCATCTATAGAGAGTGAACGAGCTTGAGTACTGTCGAGACCGGTTATAACGAAGTCGGTTATAACGAAATCGCGGTTGCAGTGAAGCGATCATGATTTCCCATTCCCATTTGCACTTTTCAATGCATTTTTATCTGTTTTTAGCAAAGGAAATTGAGCGGCTCCCGCGGATATAGCGAAGAAAAATTTTGTGATAGTTTAAAAAAAATAATAAAGTTCTGAAAGTTTACTAAGTCTCGCACCTCCGCACTTTGCTGCCACGGCCAAGGAAAGCCACCGAAAACAGGCTGCAGAGGATGCTGGAAAGGTCGCCGGCGGCAGTCTCTTCAACGTCGTCAGCTCCCCGCTCCTTATCTGGGAAGCGGCTTTACTGCATCGCACCCGGAGAAGCCATCGTGGCATACCGATAGGGGCGTTCAGGGCGCTAGCGACAATGTAACGGTGTAGATGACGGAGAACCTAGATTTAAGAGAGTTAGCAGTAAGTACGCCTGCATTTGATAGTCGCATGGCCAGTGTGGCGAGAAAACTGGCTGGAGAGGCACATGTGTTTGCAGAAGGTGAACACTTTTGAGTTTTGAATCCTTGCAGGCTGCAACTTGTTTTGCAAATGCGGCCCACAAACCACATGACCCCGATAGAGCAGTTGCCTCTGTTAAATTTAGGCTCTCTATACTGACGAAAGACGAGCTTGAGAGCAAACTCGGTGCCGTGCCACTTCTTTGTTTGCTTTGTAATTTGTGTCGGCGTCTGGTCGGTGAGGTCGCTCTTGCACGAAAGTCTACTTCGCTGAAGCACCGATTCAGCGAATCATCGCCACTCAACGATGGAGAGTCCCGGCACCGCCGGCACCTCGACTGGGAAGACGAAGGCAATCTCCTTGAATCAAAAGCGTGCCATCCTCGACGGTGTGCGCATAAACGTAAAGAATGCCAACCACCGCCGGTGTCCTCTGCGGCAACCGTCGCAGCTGTTGATGCAGTCCATACGTAGCAGGATCTTTTTCGATTGGAGCTTCTCGCAGTTGGGGAGAAGCGATTCCGATCTAGCAGAAGACACCAGGGAAGCCTTGACCGCTTTCTGCAAGCTCGATAAACATGTGCCCGTAACAACCCGTGTGTGCGTTTTTTTTTTCATGTTATTTGTACGAGTCTAGATATAACGAAGAAGCGGATATAGCGAAGCAATTTCCGATTCCCGTTGACTTCGTTATAACTGGTCTCGACAGTACTACTTGAACAGATTCGGGTAAAGAAGCTCTGTATATATAACAATAAGAGTAACATCAATACACAAAATGTGCAATCCTTTCGCATTGTATCCCATGACAGTCGCATAAAGAAGCTGGGAATTCAAAACAGGCCAGAAAAACAACTACAATCGCATCTTTTTCTACCCTGGGCAGCCCATTTTGAAAAACACTGCACAAGAACATTGCTCTGCACTGGTATACGGGTAGTACTGTAGAACCCCTTTGATATGTATTTTAAGCGACCGCAGTGAAAAAGTTTATCATGTAGAAAGTTTATCAAACCGATAACGCTGTTTGAGGGCTCATAGAAGGGACAGGAAGCAACTCTCATGCAGTGCTTCCATAGATGGCTGTGGAGAACTACCATATTTCTTCAAATATGCTTTGACTTGATTTACTAATGCAAAAGCATTAACTGTCCCATGGAGCGAGCCGACGTCATCAGATTGAAGCACACCAAACGGCACTTTAAATCCTTTCTCCAAGCGGCTATGAAACCACGTGAAAAGCCTAGGCAACGGCACCTAGTTTCCCCAACCCCAAAAGAGCGGAGTAAAGCTGACGGATTTCGCCTTCAATCCCATTGGCTGGCGCGCGTCGACAGGGGCATTAGCCGCTGTGCACGTCAGTTTCAACGACTGTCGCCCCATGGCGCTGCGTGTTCGTGCCACGAGCGTGCCTGTGCGCGTGTCCAAGGTCAGAGCTGCGAGGAGAGCACTCGCATTGCCGACACAGATACGCCGCAAGCGAAACGCGGAAGAACGGCACGCATGCTTTTGCATTTACAACTCATAAGAAGTGCTTAGGTGTACCTCGAGCCTTTTCTTTCTTTTTCAACCGTTTTTTAAAACTAGGGGGCCTTAACCCTTTGCGGTCAGGTGGCGGGCCAGGCCCGACATCGGAGAAACGCGCTTCCAGTCAGGAGTCGGGGCGTCGCCCGACATGCATTCCCGCGTCCTTTTAAACATGCTCCTTCGCTCTTTTTGCTGGATTGGTGGCGCCATCTCTTGGAAAAAACACTTCAATCACATCACTCTTGAAAGGGTTCGAGTTTCTTCTCATAAAGGGCAGGACTAGTCATAAAAAAAAAAAGAAGACATGTTCTATGTCATGTTTTTTGCGCAATGGAGGAGTGCGCAAATTTCAACTTCGCTAGCACGACGGTTATAGCCACATTCCAGCCATGCTCGTTTTATGTAACTCTGCGTGATGTAACTAAAAGTGACGACGATTTCAGTGAAGAGGACGACTATATCCTTTCATCAGATGATGGAGAGGCGATCTCTGTGACTTGAGTGAAAGTAGTGATGAATATGAAACGACTGCTTAAGACAGCAACCACGGAGCCGCTCCGCCACCAACATCGGTCCGGAGTTTGTACACAAACAATCTCCCGGACTTTCCTGTCCTTACATTCAGTGCGAGACGTCACCTATGTACACCGAAATAATTTTACTTTTTCGGGGCCCATGCGTCTAAAATAGTTCCTGACTGGAATGACCATTAAGTTGGTCAGAGTATCTGACCGCAAAGGGTTAAACTAAGAATGTCGACCTATATGATTGACCAAAATTTCAGAACTGTAAAGCAAGGTCACATGTTGGTGAAAAGTGATGAAGCTCGACGTGTGCGTGTTGAAGAAGGGGATGGCAAGATGAATTAGAGATTGCGAAAGCCTGGATCCCTTGTGTGCCTAGATCAAGGTCATGCCTGCCAGGGCAAGAATGACAAGCACAGCTCGGAGAGGAGAGCGGAGCAAAAGGAAGGCGGCAGCCATGGTCCTACACGTCGTGTCAGGTGGCAGCGTTTGGACATAAGAAATGGGAAAGCAAACACGACAAATGGGACATTGATGTGTACATTCCTATGGGTGCTTAATGGGATCCAGGCATTTCTGCATATAACAGCCGGGAAAATGTATAAACCGATAACGTATCAATGAGGTTCTACTGTGTATTGGCAAATTAAATGGATCTAACACTATGCTCCTTGGTGCTTGTCATCTTTGCACGCTCTGCCCTTCCTTCTCTCCACGTGACCCGCCACGACCTTCAAAGCCCCCTCCCCCGTGTTATTCCAGGGCTGGGTGTCGATTCCGTGATGCGGGTCACGTGCATGCTTCTTCCTGGATCGCTTCTTCCACTTGTGACTTGCAGAAAGGTAGGTGTGACGCTCGTCACGTCTGCCTGCCTCCTCTTGCCTGTCCGCTGCATCCCATACTTTCTTGTTTTACCCAGTCTGACAAGTGCCTCTGTTACGCATGCAAAACGCTGGGACAAACCTAACGTCTCCACTGTTCACTATCAGCTGATCAGCAGTGGCACGTTTTGGTTTGACAGCCTTCTTTCTGCTTTGCCCTGGCTTTCCTACGCTTCAATAACCCCACCTCTCTCTCTATTGATAATCCTATGGAATGCTGTCAGCTTTTGAATGCCACCCCTACACTATGCCCCCGTTTACATTTATCTCGAAGCCATCGTGGCTAAACCTCGTGCAGGGTGTGCATGTTACGAAAACTGTAAAGCAAGGTCACATGGCAATTTTTCAGATAAGGTTGTTTCCTGCACAAGTATTTCCTTTAGCATTTATTTGGAACCTTTGCAACAGTGCTTGTTCATGCTTTGCTAGTGGCCTAATGTCAAGGGGTGTGTTTTAAACGCTGCTGCCTGGAACGGCACCTCTTTCAGAGGAAAACACTCCACTTCACAAGCATCTGGAGTCAGAGCAAAATCTTCTGACTGCCGATGATGCCGAGGAGCTGAGTGAGCAAGAAGAGCTAGTCCTGTTCGAACTGCATTCGCTTGGAAAGAGGCCTCCTCGGTCCACTGGAACAAGCGAGTAAATCTAGATTAAAGCTGGACAGGCAGCCAGAAATGGCATGAGAATGCCAACGAGTTTCAAAGGTGGTCAAGCTCGGGATCTGGTGATCCTTAAAAGTCCAAGGCTGGAGCAAGGCTAATACTGTACTGCATTGCCAGATTCAGCATGTCAAGACCCGCAATAAATCTTGGCCAGATGCATGTATGGCATTAAAAATCGAGTTGAATCAGCGACATGCATGATGGTAGGATGCTTGCACAACTTCCATGCGAGCGATTGTCTTGGTGCAATATTCGAGTCTTTGTTTGAGCTGAATTTTATGATGGGAGCCGTTCGAGCAACTATCCACAATTATAGAAAGGCCTAGAGTACCAGCATTGTTCATGCTAGTCGTTGCAATTATGTTCTATTAGTTTGAGGTCAAGAGCTAGTCAGGGTGCTTTCTAAATGTAGTGTTGTATTCCGTACCTGCTATTGTCCAACATGAAGTTGTGGAAAATGTGGGGGTAAAAAGCCATGAAGCTATTTCTTGCAATAAATGAGAGTGCGGTTTTTCTTTCTTTCAATGATTATATATATGTATATATATATAAAAAAAAGAAAGAGGACCACATATTTTACACTTTCAGAAATTACTGTAGACAACAGGCAGGTAGAAGTTGTGCCGATTTGTTGCTGGGAAGCACTAACGAAAGTAGGAGTGGAAGAGCTTCTCCAAATTATGATTGTAAACAAATGCAAACTGAGGGGCTGTTTCTAGGGAGATGTACGATATAAGTAAGAAAACAACATAGCAGCTGTAATGGCATTGATCTAAGCCACTCCACTGACAGGAGTGAAGCACCAGACCACGGGGTCCGTGGTTCGATTCTTGGCTAGAGAAAGTGTTAAGAACTAGGATGTAGTCTCATTTACCACAGTGCCATTCCCTTTTGCAAACTACCTTGTTTTTCGAATTATTATTTGGACAGAGAAAGTTCAGCTCGTTAATTGCCCCAGTGTTCTTTGGAACACACTACATTTGGATAATTACGGCAGACTTCTTTTCGTGAAATCCCAAGCTGTAATCGTTCAGCATTCTGTATACTGCAGAAAATAAATAGGAGTTGACAGGCATCAAACGTGCAACTGCTTTGGATGTAATGTTCCTGTCACATAAGCATTCCAACTGGCATTTAGCAAAACCCTAATCAGACAATCGGCAAGTCTGCTCGTAGTCCTAGTTGATGCCTAGGTTTGCCGATTCTCTGCCTTTGACCTTTATAACTAAGATGTCAGTATGTGTGACCATAATTTTATTTTGTGACACCCCAATCAAGGTTGAATAAAGTGAAGTCTATGCATGGACTTTCCTCTGTTCGCCTTGAAAGCAGTGGGGTAGAAACTGCACACTTCCAACCGTCGACCCACACTCACTTATGCACAAATTCTGAAAATAGGCGCAAGAGGAGACAGTTTATTGGTGCAGACAGTGTATTTACTCTCGGCTGAAGAGATGGAAAGAACATAGCAGTCACTACCACAGAAACCTGTTCCTCACCTTTCTGTGCTACTACTGTAAACAACTTAATTTTCGCGAGGACCTAATTTTTCCGAATAGCCCACAATTCGCGAAAAGTAGGTCCCACGAACAATTCCGGTAAAATGTAAACACATTAGAATCTATATTGAGATCCCACCCAGTCACGAAAATTGGAACCCCCGAATTATTCCAAAACTTCAGCTTTGACTTGAATTGCGAAATATTGAGCCCACGAAAAATAAGTTGTTTACAGTATATAATATGGCTGTTTAGTCATGTAAAATAATTTGTCGGACATGACGAAGAGTGGTCATGCATTCCAATATTTTCCACTTTCAATAAAATAGTGAAAGAAATGGTGTGAATTTACTGTGCTGTACTCAACACTGCTTGCCAAAGAGTGAAAGAAACAAAGCCCAGAGATTTCCCTTTATTTTCCAAAATACTAAAAAAAATACACTCCGACAATTGTTCTCATTCCGACTCACAAACACAAGTCGGTGATTACACTGACAAAAAATATTACTGAGATCACAAGACTCAATGCGAGATCACCAATACTTCAAGGACCCATCTTGGTTCCTGAATGAATACAGATTATGTTTACATACAAGATTTTATATACTCCTGCATGACAGCAATAAACCATAGTTATTGCACACTACTTAATGCCGCAAAGTGTTCATTCAACTCCAGCTTCCCACAAAAAAACGGCGATTGTGCAGGTGCCTACATTGGATCCTCACAAGAAATGTTACCGAGGATTCAAAGCCACCTCTAGGACACGAGCAAGTGAGAGATCCCAATACAGTTATGTGAAGCGATAAGTCAGAAATAACTTAATTTTTCGCAGAATACATTTGTGTTCTTTCGAGATCTAGCAATGGCTTCACAAGAAACAAAAAAATCCTTCCAAAATTAAAAATAAATGTGGAGCTAGTAGCCTGTACTGTTAACCCTAGCCCAGGCTCTATGCCACAATCTTTACATTCCCCTAGTCACCTTCAAGCCTTCAAAGGAGAAAAAAAAAGTCCTTACAAAACAGTTTGGTAAATTCACACACTCAACATCACAATCAAGCTTGCCAGTACTAAAATGCCCATAAATAGTGGACAGATCTCACATAAAGGCATTACCCTTGGAATAGCACAACATACACAAACTCTAGAAAATTTCTAGAGCCCGATAAATAGAAATGCCTCGCTAAAAAACCCGGAAGCAAATGGCAGTGAATATAACATTGTCCCGACGTCGACACACATAAAAAGTTAATCACACTAAGATCTAAGAGTCCTTTCTCCACCTATTAAAAAAAAAAGGGGGGGGGGGTTTGAGGATGGGGGCAATTTGTCCATTCCAGTCCTAGTTGGTGTAGAATGTTTAAATATTTTAAAAGATTTGCACTAAAACACACATGGAAACTCCAAAAACACATCTCATTAAGGTGAAAGGGCATTCAAACTGGCAGCCCTCAGTTAGACATCTATCTAGAAAGCAAGGGACAGCTCTTTTGGCTGCTTCAGCTGACAATGTCTTTATTTCAGGCGCCTGCATCCTTTTTTTTTATTTGTGTCCCCCAATGGACTGGGTAGAGACTAGGGACACAATGCCTGATGAGGTCTCTGCCCTTGTTTCAAGAAAGCGCTTCGTTTCCAGAGCTTTACCAACATGGAGTGATCACTTGGCTGTTCCAGACAGCACGTTCCCACACAGTACATACACAACAATGATGATAACATGATTGACAGGACAGTCAACACAAAAGCAGCACAAACGTGCACTCCACAATATATGCAATTGTGAGCACGAGGCCATTGATTATTCGCTTCCCGTCACCACTTACATTCACATTGACTTCAGGAAGAGGTGAAAATCTTCCAATTGATAAGCAGAAAAAAAAAAAATGGAGTGTTGGCTAGCTTGAAGTGTGCCGGCACCTGCTAGAAGACTTTCATACTGACCTGAAAAGGCACATCTGTAGAAGTTGACATTCATTTAGTGAAAAACGACAAAAAAAAGTTCAATTCGTATTTCGTCTTGTGGTTGACAACTCTGTGGTTGAGACTAGAAAAATGGATGCCAACTATTTCCCTTTCCGTCATACTCACTGAAGATCGCCAGTTGCCCAAGCTACGACAAAGATCCCCAAGTAAGTGCTAGAGGGTACAGATACTTGGCTAGAGCTAGTAAGTACAATCCGGCTACAACGGAGGGGGTGGAGTTAGCACGCCGAGGCCTGCAATGCTGCTGCTGGCTGCGCCCCGTGAGGTGGCCCCAGAAGCGCTGGATTCCCTCTTCAGACACAGGGCCTCTTCCTGGAACCAGAAAGCAAGTGCAACCACAACTTGGTACAATGAATTCCACTTCACGGTCAGATATCTGGGGGATGTAGAGGCTCAGCAAGAGGGTGTGCAGAGTGGAAGCTACTGAAGGCAGTTGCTGTCAACCCTTGTCCCCAAAACAGGCACTCAACTTCACTTTCCCAGGGCACCAGTCCACATATTGTTGTCTTCGAAGAGCCAACGTTTCCTCCCGGGTGTCGGCAGTGTGTCGTCGCTGCCCCTCGGTTTTGCTTTGTTGCATACGTTGCGACACTGCCACTATCCCCTCCTCTCGCATTGCATTATTGCAAGCGTGCGAGAAGACTCTTCCCTCTTATGTAAGAGGGCAGTAGATGTAACGGGTGGACGAACGGAGCCCTGCCATATCTCACAAAACCGGACCCATCCAGTTCGAACCACGACCATCCAAACAAAAGACAGCTGCATGCACCGGGGCAATAAAAAAAGCTCCTAAGGACTACAGCTTCCACGACACGTGCAGTATGTAAACGCTGCACAAGTGCTATCCTCAATTTCCTGAAAGCCTCGAGAACTGTACAACAGTTGCAAAGGTTGCTTCTGGAGCATCACAAACCTTGGTGTTCCATGAAGCCCACCCACGTACGGTGAAAATGCTAGGAAGGAAATGCAGCGACTACAGTGTGGCAGCTTTAGCCCATGGCTTCCAGAAAAACAAAAGAAAATGTTTCAGGCATCGTCAAGCAAAGTGCCCAAAATTCATTATTTGCACATGCCTAGCAAAGAAGTATTATGCACTCCGCTTAGCTGCTCTATGAACAGTAGCAGGTGGAATACAAGCAAGAGCAGTGTGATACAAACCCTAAAAAGTAGCCAGAAACACCTTTTTACGTTAAACACAGACCGAAGATACTATCGGTACTCCTAATGGTTAATTGAGACAACTGCAAAATTACCACCGTACAATTGTTCAATAAATAAGTAAATACCTGTAGCGACCAGGTCCCCTGTAGGTACAACACTTTAAATGGTGTCCGAACACTAACGACTGCAGTTTTTGGCACAGGCTAACCTTCGAAAAGATTGTATAAAATGTTCTGACATGAAAGCTCAAAATTGTTTGCTCCAAAATTGGGTCTCTCCCCAAAACCTGTTTTTCCCTGCTACAAGAGCTACTCCAAATCACCACTTGTCAGTTCCACCACTGAGAGAGCAATACCCTGATTGATTGAGATCCTATGTGATTGTTACCCTCACACACACATGGTTTGCCAGTAAGTCAGACAAAACTAGCCTAACGCTAGAAAATCTGCGCGATGATAGAGCACGTGCAGACGATTCTATGAGCACGATCTGCATCCCAGCGAGTGTTTCCCGTCGTTCCTCTCTAGCCCACTGTTAACCTACAACCATTCCACTTTGATGGTAGTATCCAGTGTATATTGTTGCTTTCAAAGTATGAGGGCTGTACCATGATGATTTCCACATTTGTTTGCTGCAGATACTGGCTGCTTAGAAGTTGGTAGATATGTCCATGTCCACCTACTCGCCATACCCACCCTGTAGTCTAATGCACTTGCACCATTCGTGTGACAAACCTTTCCATGCCCTGCCGGAACCACTTTTTGGAAGTGCACCGCACCCACGTCTGGACAGCTGCTTCCAGCTCATCATTGACCACGAAATGGCATCCCCACAAGGGTTATTACATGGCCCAGGAATGGAAGCGCTGCGCTAATTGCACCAATCTACTTTCGCTGCGCCATCATGCTACCAAGCGCAAATGTTGCGCCAAAAATTGCCAGAAAAGCTTTTTTTTTTTGTAATGCTATATTTATTGGAGTACTTTTCTTTACTGGCCACAGTAAAGAAGAGCGCCTTCAAAGCACTTGTTTAGGCACATTGGTCTGTGCCATCAGTGCCACAAACTCAGCCAAGAATGGCGGTCCGATCTCGGAAAATGAGGCATGCATACTACCATATTTTCCAGGCTATAGTCCGCGAACTATACATGTTTAAAGTTTAAATTTTAGGCTGTGCGGACTATCTACGCGTGCGGACTACATTATGACCATTATGACCAGACATGATGGATTTTGTGAATGAAAGAGTATGTTGATGATTAAGGTATAATACAAGCTTCTTTGTGAGCTAAGAAAAGAGACATTTGTCAAGGTGTGCCATGTATGAGAAGATTTTCGTGTCGACTATGCACGATGTGCGGACTATCTAAACAAAATCTTTTATTTTTGACCCCAAACCTGCCGCTGCGGACTATAGCCCAAAAGATACGGTAGGTGGTTTTTTCAGAATTTCTGAAACCTCAGTTCGCCGTTTACTTTTTTTTTTTTTTTTTTGAAGCGCAACTCTTAGGCGCCCACTTCCATGTTTTGCGCCGTCCGTATAACCGCCGCGCTGAATTTGGGAAATTGAATTGGTGTTGAGGTCACATGACATCAATTTTCCCGCTAAATCTAGTGGAGAAACTGAATTTGTTCATGGGTGCAGTGACACAAAGTAATGTGACGTCATTATCCCCGCTAAATATGGTAGGGAAACTGAATTGGCATCGAGGTCATGTGATGTCGATTTTCCCGCTGAATCTAGTGGAGAAACTAATTTGTTCATGGGCAGGGGCGGATGCAGGAATTTCCTGAAGGGGGGGTCAGGTGTTGGTCAGCATACCATTTGTTTAGGAACCTCCTCCCCCTTCCTTGTTTCACGCCCTAAATTTTACACATGCAGAAATCAACATCCGGACCCCCCTCTAAATCCAACCCTGTTCATGGGTGACGTGATACGAAGTAATGTGACATCATTTTCCCCGCTAAATATAGCGGGGAAACTAAATTTGTGTTGAGGTCACGTGACATCAATTTTCCAGCTAAATTTAGCGGGAAAACTGAATTTGTAATGAGTGACGCGACACAAAGCCATGCAACGCCATTTTCCCTGCTAAAATTAGCAGGGAAACTGAATTTGTGTCGAGGTCACGTGGCATCAATTTTCCAGCTAAATTTAGCGGGAAAACTGAATTTGTAATGAGTGACGCGACACAAAGCCATGCGACGTCATTTTCCCCGCTAAAATTAGCAGGGAAACTGAATTTGTGTTGAGGTTACGTGGCATCAATTTTTCCCTAAATTTAGCTGGGAAACCGTAGGAGGAAGGGAGGGTATGGAAGAGGAGGAGCGGAAGGTACGATGGAGAAGCATGGGAGGGTATGCAGGAGGAGGAGGGGAGAGGCACACCCTCCGCTCCTCCTCAAGTGCTGCGCTCTAATTTCGCATTACACATTTGTAAAGTGCGCAATTTTTCGGCACAGTGGCAATGAGCATGACCTCGTGCATTCGAAACTTTGCACGCAGTAAATCGCATACTATACTGTAAAGTCTCTTATGAACGCCCGTCCCCGAGAAATCACCCATCCCGTCTTTGGGGCTGAATATCTATAACATGGAAATACCAAAACACCGAGCCTCCCTCCCCCGATTCCCGACGGATATCGATCGCGCAATGTCCGGCGGGAATCGCATCAACCGCGCAAACCTGCGGTATTGGTATGTGTGACAAGCGTGTTCCCTCGTGCTTATTGCATTGTGACACGTGAATCTGCAGCATCCGCACTCTGGGGTATCCGTTCCCGTGACATACAAATTCCGAACTCGTTTTCGAGTCTTTTGTTTGTTTGTTTTTCCTGCGATTTGGGCGTGCGGTATTGGTTCCCGTGACACCTGAGCTTGTATTGGGTTTTTGCATGCATATCGCACTGTGAAGCACGAATACACTGCGTCCACATTCTGCTGCCGTGCCCGTGACGGGGGAATTCATAGCGAATTTCCACGTATTTATCGCATCGTGGAATGCGAATTCACTGTGTCGGCGATATCTTTAATGAAAGGACAGTGAATATGCAGGCAAGCTGGTGATAGTTAACCATGATGTTTAAAACCCGAGACTGTGGAGAGAGAAAAATATTAAACTTTGAAGTCGAAAAGTTCTTGTTTCACGTAACTTGGAGTTGTAGTTTCTTGTAACCTGACAAACCCACTGCCATGGCAGAATGTCAAGCCATGCAGTGGGACTCCACGATGTTAAGGTTACACAGGAAGAAACCGGGAGAACTTCTACCAACAAAGCATTGCTGTCGCAGGTTAACTATTGACAAAGTGCCTCACCACAAGCTGCAGGTTGACGTGGTGCACTTGAATCTCGTGGTTCCCTTTGACTGCCACAGGGATTCGGTCCTTGGTGGCTCGCTTGATGACCGTCGCAAATGGTGCCATCCACTCGATGCAACGTCCAAGTTCGACTGTCTTGTAGCCTGCAGTTTTGCTCAGGTTAAATGGCAGCCAAGAGAAGCTTTTGGCATGCACATGTGGTGGACCCTCCTAACCAAAGGCTTGGAATCTATGGAGGACAGTTGCGGCTGACACTGCAACCAACATTTTGTTTGTCATAAATACTGCCGACCTTTTCGAGGTGGTAGCAGGAGGGGTTAACAAACAAGTTAATAGGCAAGAATTGCTACATCTATACATACAAGCGTACTCTCCTCCTTGGTGTGCTTCAGCGTCTCTCTCTGTAAAGTTTCCTTTTGAATAAACCTTGTTGTCGAGCATACTATTATCAAACTACAGTGCTACAATTAGCAACAATATCTTGGCACTTTAGTGCACTGTGCACTACACTCACCTTCAAAAAAGAACAAAAAAATAAAAGCAAGCCTTGAGTATGCTATGCAAAGTAGTTACTACGGACTAGGTTATCAGTGAAAAACATTCAGCACAATTAATAACACTCAATAAGGAGTTAAATTTTTATTTTGCAATAGTTGTTGAGGTGAACTTTGATATAACAACCTCAGTTTAACAAAATTCGCAATGGAACATAATTTTTTCGTCTTCCTAGCTACCTTTCATTGAGGATCATGTTTCTCCATGTTTTAGTGATAATGAGTAGTCTGGTACCACAGTATCGATTTAACGGAGCCTTCACATATTGCATATACACATATTAGTAACCACTGCGAGAAGCCAAGGAAAGAACAATAGATTAATTTTATTGCTTACCCCTATATATCAAATGCATATATTGGCACATTACGATATCGCAGATACCTACAACACCGATTCGAAACAGCCTCTTCTGTGAACTAACAACTTCACCGTTAAAGGGGCCCTGCAATCATATTTAAGCGTCTACCTTTTTTGCGGTTTCCAAGTCTCTTGGGGTTTGCGCAAGCCAGCGGGCACCGAGAGAGTAACTAAATATCAGTGCGTCATATTTAATGGCTCAATACAAGCATACTCCAAGGAGGAGTACGCTTGTATGTATAGGTGTAGCGATTCTTGTCTATTAACTATATGACGCACTGATATATACTGGACGACGCAGAAACCTCCTCCAGCTACGGGGGCGACCCGCGGTGCCGAAAGTGCACAATATGTGAAGTCTTTGATCCTGGGCTTACTAATGGTGAGAGCTGCTAAAAGCTTCTTTTTACTCGAAATACAAACTATAAGTGGCACAAACCATTTCAGTTACTTATAAAAGTAGTTTTTGTTCAGTATTTTAGATCAGAAAAAAAAAACAAATGCTGTTTATGAAGTACGGAAGCAAGAAATGACCCGTCGCCGTACCCGCCACCAAGCGGTGGAAAAGGCGGCGCATACTAGAAAGGTGTACTGGGATCCAGCACCAACGAGCAGCAAGCGTAGAAAGGTCCCAGATGTATGCGGTGGCATTGCAATCGTATACAAGCTTGAGGATCCGACTGGTTCCGAGCGTTCCGAAGGCTTCGGAGAGCAGGTTTGGCTTGCGGTTTGGCCGTTTGGCGGTATGGCAGCGCAAAGTGGCTCCCCCTCTGACTGATCTTTACCCCACGTTTGCTGTCGTTTGTGGCCAATGAAGTGTCATGCTGAATTAGTGTTTACTTGTGCAGCAAATGCAATGCAAACCGCCCTGGCTATCCGCTTCATACAGCCTATCAAGAATGTGCTTTGGTGGCGCCCTCTCGAGCCGTTGACACGGAGTGCGGCAGCCGTGAGTGCTCGCTGAGCTCACTACCCCTGCTCTAGTTCACGGCCACTCAAGCAACCAAGGACGTCGTGAAGGAAGTTATTTTTTGCTGGTTTTTGTCATTTTAATTTGCCTATAACTTTTAAAATAAAGCGAAATTTGAGAAGAGAAAAGTTTCATTAAGTTACTACGTTCAGTGCGCTCAGGTTCGGTGCAAATTAAAAACCAGTAAAAAAGTCTTTGCAAGCAGACGGGGCAACTAGTGTGACCTAGCGTGTGCTCCTTGCTTTGAAGTGACTTCATGAGCGCTCGTTTCACAAAAGCAGAGTGCAAAGCCACGACCACATGCCTGGAGCCTTCTCTGCTTTGTAAGCTTAATGCTATATGGAGGTTCGTTTGATCCACCTTCATTGCTACAAGGTTAGGCAATATCTAAAATGATGGTCAGTATGCACTTCATCCCCGTAATTATTAGGGCCGCTTGTAGTGGAATTTTATATATTTAAAGGCCGACGAGCAACCATAAAGGACACCATTCTAATTTTCTCTTTTTTTTAAGAGAGAGGGACACCTTCTTTTCTGCAGGGAGTAGCTCAGAGGCCCGGTTTTGTCTGGCAAGGGGGATGAAGAGTGCGAGTGAATGGATAGGACACTGGGAAAAGGGATTCTGCTACAAAGAAAACGCAGCTAGTGGAGCAGCTGTGAGGTGGGGTGGGGGCGGGGGGAAGAAGCCTCATTGCCCACGTGATCACTCTCACCACACCTCATCCCCCTCTCCCACAACTGCTCGCTGCATAAGGTGTCTTAATTTAAAATGACGGCCAACTAGATACCAGAAATAAAGAAGAACCTAGCACCAAAATAATTTTAATTGTTCCAACTGACTTAGTGTGTATTGTGCGAGAAAGACTTGTTCCCGTGACAACAAGGCTGCATGACCTGAACACTTTCCTGTGTGAGGGGTGTGTAGATGGGGCAATATCTACAAGCTTTGTTCTAATACAGCTGGAAGAAATAACCAAGAAATAGGACAAGACACATTGCATTGGAAGTGCTTCACTTAACCTTCAGTATGACCTCATATTGGCGAGTTGCTCAGAACCTATTGACCTACTAAAGAGAGCAAAAAATTTAGGCACCTGAAATGTCGGAGGCCAGGGAGGGTGACAACATGTGGTGAATTGCTGTGGCAGCTATGAAGCTGTATGTGAATTGGAGGCACTCTACATCCAGCATGCATAGATCTGCCAGCTGTAAAAAGAAATACAAACAATGCAGCATGATCAAATATTTCAGCACTAATCAAAATCAACTGTCTCTAAATGGGTTAAGCCACAAAGAAATACTAAACAATCCAGTTTTAGGTTGGTGTTAACTGCATCATGATCAACAGTAACTTAATGGCACATCGTTCCCCTGAGAGATAAATTGTGGTTGACCAGAAGGGTCTCTACTGAGAAACTAGCACTAAGGATAAATTATTTTGTCAAGGAAAAAAAAACAGAATAAGGCGCAGTTTTCTTTTTTCTTCTTGACCACCATTTTCTCCCACAAACTGATTACTATGGTTATCTTGAAGGCATCTCTTTCAAAATCAACAAAAGGAGTATCCTTTGGGGGCAGATAACCTGTTGGATTCGTTGCAGGTGGAACAACAGACATGCTTTAATTAATTAATAAAACCACAAAAGCACCAAAATTTGAAAAGGGAAAGCCTGATGGCAATAGCCACTGGCAGCATTCAAAGACTCATTGGTGCAAAGTAGAGCTCTGCCTGGGTCCGGGTCAACTCTAAACTCAACTCTGTTCTCGTCCCGAGACGTGCTTGGTCTCCCACTGTCAGGCATCCATCAGTCCGGGCCCGTTAAGACTGTCTACAGGCCTGGGCCTCAAGAGGTAGGCCCGTGCGCAGTGCTCTAGTGTGAATATCCACAATTTGCTAGCAACAGTGATCTGATTGGTCCGAGCTATTTTGGAGCACCTCTTGCAGCAGCCAAAAGTCCACTTCGGAGTAGCAAAAAGAAGTTTTGGAGCATAAACACACACTTCAATTTCATTTGCACTAATGTCGAGACCGGTTATAACGAAATAGCAGCTACAGCAAAGTGATAATGATTTCCCCTTCCCTTTTGCACTTTTTCAACGCATTTAAGTCTGTTTTTAGCGAAGGAAATTGAGCTGCTCCCGCGGATATAGCAAAGATAAATTTTGTAACAATTTAAAAAAATAAAAATAAAATTCGGAAAGTTTACTATAGTCGGTGACAGGTCAACAAGGAAGTGCAAGCTCCTCCCACCTCTTTCCACTTCAGTAGAGCGAATACTGGAGAGAAGGTTGCCTCCACTCCAACGTTCACTCTGCTGAAGCGGAAAGAGGTGGGAGGAGCTTCCACTTCGTTCTTGACCTGTCACCAACTAAGTCTCAGACCACTGCACTTTGCTGCCTCGGCCGAGCAGCCACCCAGAACGGGCCGCAGACAATGCTGAGAAGGCCGCCGGCGGCAGCTTCCACATCATCGTCCGCTCCCCTCTTCTTATCTGAAAAGCGGCTTTTCCGTTTCGCACGCATTGAAGCCGTCGTGGCATGCCGATAGGGGCATTCTGAGCGCTATAGAGAGAACGCACCGACGAAGATGACAGAGAGAGAGCCTATATTTAAGAGAGGGAACAATTCCAACCATTGAGAGCATTTGCTATTTAATGGCAGACACCTCCAATGGCTGCATTAAATCTGGCTGCCTTAGTTGTCCCGTGGCCAGCGTGGCGAGAAAACTGGCTGGAGAGGCACACGTGTTTGCAGAAGGTGAACGCTTTTGAGTTTTGACTCCCTGCAGGCTGCAACTCGTTTTGCAAATGCTGCCCACGAACCACATGACCCCGATGGAGCAGTTGCCCCTCTCTTAAATCTTGGCTCTCTATACCGACGAAAGACAAGCTTAAGAGCGAACTCGGTGCCGTGTGCACTTCTTTGTTTGCTTCGTGTTCCATGTCAGCATCGCTGGTCGGTGTGGTCGCTCTTGCACGGATGTCTAACTTCGCTCAAGCATCGCCACTCTCCATCGTTGAGTCATCGCCACTCAACGATAGAGGGTTTCGGCACCGCCGGCACCTCAACAGGGAAGTCGAAGGCAATCTCTATGAAACAAAAGTGTGCCGTCCTCAACGAAGTGCGCATGAACGTAAAGAATGTCTTCCACCGCAAGCGTCCTCCGCGGCGGGCGTCGCAGCTGTCTACACGGTCCGTACGTAGCTCGCAAGGTCTTTTCTTGATTGGAGCTTCTTGCAGTTGGCGAGAAGCGGTTCCGATCTAGCAGAGAGCGCGTGCAAGGAAGTCTCGACTGCTTTCTGCAGGCACGATAAGCATGTTCCCCTAACAACCAGTGTTATCTTTTTTTTTTTTTTAGGGGGGGGGGGGGGGGGGGGTGTTTTTACGAGTTCAGATATAACGAAGAAGCAGATATAGCGAAGTGATTTTCCGAGTCCCGTTGACTTCGTTATAACTGGTCTCGACAGTGCTACAAATATTATGTCAAAAGTCGTGTTATCCGACCAATCTAAAAGACTGTCTACTTTGCCTTCCCACTTTTATCCAACCGCAGGGATCAATTGCACAGCGGATTTGATTCCCTCAAACGTGGAAATAGCTGTTATATTGCGTGTAGAAACACCAGACACGGCAACAAGGTGCTGATTGATGAAGGACAGCATGAACTGCTGTGAATTACTCATAAGTATTGAATCAAAGGTAAACCAAATAGTAGATTCCACTAGACTAATGATAGAATTATTTTTGGGCACCCAAATTGAGCTTTCATTCAAGCTCTACAGGTTGCAATAAAACTGCAATTCTTAATTCCGACAAAAAAACAAGGCTTCTGTCGTTATATTGACATTTTATACACAGAACTTCACGATAACAAAAATATTTAGGCATGTGAACAATAAATATGCCTTAGAAACTTAATTAAGGCATTAGGGTTATTCCCAAACTTCCAACCACTGCTTCAGCTAATCTACTTCAAATTTAATCTATTGTCTTTGTCATCGAACAGACGGAACCTATATAAAGGTGATAACTAAATAAGAGTTGACATAAAAATAAAGCTATAGAAGAATCCATATAAAACTTGTCGCAATGCCAATGTATCCTTGCTAAATCTGCAACCTGAAAAATATATTGTGAGAGTATTGCAGTCTATTATAGCTGCAGTTTTCTTCAGAAACTTTTACTACAAGGTATAGTTTTTTACATTAACACTTACAAGTTTTTTTGTTTTTTTTAAGATTATTATTGGATGCCTGCATATGTAATGTTCTCCCCTCAAGGGATGTTTTCCCTTTAGCACTAGGATGTGCGGCAGCAAAGCAAGATAAGCAAAATCGCATTGCTTACGCAGCGGAACGTGTGGCTCCACTGCAGTACACCAGTGCACGATGAGAAGCACACTGAACGAAACTAACTAACCCGCCAGAACAGACCACAAAACTTCCGAGTACTGTCAGTGTTTGATGTAGAGATAAAATCGAATAGTATGTTATACAAGGCGATAATGAAAAATTCTGAAAATTTGCGCAGGTTTACTGTAACGATCTGGCCGTGTAGGAGGGCCCATGCTACTGTCGAGACTGGTTATGACGAAATCAACAGGAATCGGAAATCGCTTTGCTATGGGAAATCGTGATCCTTCACTGTAGCCGCCATTTCATTATAATCGACTTCTTTATAACCAATCTTGACAGTATTACATTTTCAGTATTAATCGAGTGAAATTAAGATTTGGAGCAATGTTGGCACAAATTCCTCACACTTTGGCGATATGTAGCAGGATGGATAGGGTAAGCACTTTTGTGCTGCAATCACATCACTGTAGTAATGAATTGAATATTGGAGTATTCAATCCATTATTTCAATCAAATAATGTTTTGAATAGTTTTCTAATTATATCTGCTAGTTAGAACATTTTAGGGTGACAAGTTTCCTTCCACCGGCACTCGTCACATAGCCACCACACGTGCAGTGGCATCAGAACTGCTCAGATTGGGGGAGGGGGGGGGGGGGTTCTAACCAGATAGGTTTAGTGCTGACACTCCCATTATCTTGATGATGCACTGCCATCTTGGGTTGACTTGATTAGAAAGTTATAGCAATTTTAGAAAAGTTTCCATGAAAAAATGGGGCCCATTTCCCGGTAGTCGATGTTATTCATCTCCATGCATTCGTGCCTGGAGATGAGTGGCTTTCCACTGAAAATTTCCTGAAATCACTTAAAACTTTTGAATCAGATAATGGCAAGCTCTGAAACTTGGCATCTGGTCTGGACTGCTTGAGCTACACTTGGGCGGAGGCTGAGCATTCGGCGATGGTTCGTTCATATTTGCGGTGGAACAAACACTGAATTTGTCTCCCGGACACCCGGTACCCCTCTTTATGTGTGTGTGTGTAAAATGTTTAATGAGAAAAAAAGAAGTGGTCGCACTTGCGCATGACTTCTTCCCCTCTTTATAAAGTCTACCCGCTATTCAAAAACTATTTGACTTGATGTCGCCGCCATTCAATTCAGTATGAAAAATCGCTATTCGCAGACCCCTACGCACTGGTAAGAAGAATTATCTTGCTAGGTTTATGGAACAGACACTAAACAGTGACACTACTGACCTGTGCAACCTTGATGAAGGAACAGGTTGAGAATTCCGGAACGAGAAAGTTCTGTCCCTCTCGGTCCCGTGACTCCTTCCTGGCAATTATCTGGAGATAGGTGCTCAGCCAGCCGTTCACGGTCATCGGTGTCAGATCCCAGTTCAGGGCCTGACATACCAGACATACAGACACAGGTCAGTCTCTCAACTAGTCTCGTGATTCAAAAACGCTGTTCTTCTAGCAGTTTGATCTACTCTGCATATAACAGGTAGAAACTGAGGGAGAGGAGGAGACAAGAGTGCGCGGGGACGTCGGAACACCAAGCTATGGTTGGAAGGATTAGTGGTTACATGCAAAGCCTTTGTCACTCTTCGAACCCCGGCGTCCGGCATTTTAACTACCTAGCATTTATAGGCTAGCCTTAGGGATTTCGTGGCCACGGCATGTAGCCTCGACGACGCCATTCCAAAGCTGCTTTAGAGCATAGTATTTGTAAGTGTTCTGTGAAGTTGCACGACGCCATCACGTCACAGGACACCGTGACATGACGTGATAGTGCGACATCGGGATGTCACAAGGCGTGACATTGCATTACTTGGACACACGATGTATCTTCTTTTTGTATTCACAAAACCCTCGCCATATGCCCATCAGTGTCCTTGCTGTACCCACAAGAGGAGCCCAAAGGGGCTTGTATAAATGCTATGCATTTAGAATGCCTCTGGGATATGGCAGAAACTGATTTTTTCTTAATGGCCCGTCGAATGTCAGTGCTGGGTCTATTTATTCGATTTGTCCCCCATATTTTTGTTGCAATACTGTAAACCACTTAATTTTTGCAAGGATCTAATCCTGCTATATCGTGCGAATATATTGCCGTATGGTAATGAGCACACGGTATACCACTCCCAGTCGCGAGAACTTGTGCCCTTGAAATATTCCCGAGAGCCACACTATGCAAGATATTGAGCTTGCAAAAATAGTCATTTACAGTATGTACGTCTGCTATAATACAAGATCTGCACTGCAAAATCTGCTTCTAGCGCAAGCTTCATCATCTGGAGAGCATGCACAGTCAATGCACGACGGAAGATTACGAACACACTGTAGAGGCATAGCTTCTGTCTATGATTTTATGTCAGACTACAGTCAAAACTAGATGCATTGCTGTGGTTAATGAGAATATGAAAATAAATTGCTCAATATGGACCTGCCATTTAAGTTGCTTGCAAAAAACTGTTGCTCACAAATTCCGCATGTATGTGTAGTGTATGTTCCTTTTGTCTGTCCTTCTTTGTGTTCACTGTTTTTGCATCGCGGTCTTGAAGTGTATTGTGAGCACAAAGTTTGTGAAAAGCAAGGTTAGGGCACTAAATTCCAAGCTTTTTATTTTGTGTTTAGCATTCTATACATTGGAGAGCTATGGAAGTGCTCATCATCAAAAATGTGAAAATCGAGTTGCTTTACAAATGAACTTGTCCATGGCCCTTACGGTAACCCAGTGGGGAAAAGAAAACTTACGGTAAGAATGGCAAGTTCCTTCTCAAGGATCTCGCTCTCCTGGCAGGCACCGTCCGTGACATATGCAAACTCCGACAGTTTGGGTGGGTAGATCTCCTACGGGTAGAAGAACAAAAGCCGGCACACTTTAAAGGGTGCTGCTCTTGCCCCCCACACCAGGTCCAGTGATGTGATCTGTCAGAGTCATTTTGGAGCAGCAAAAATAACTTTTGGAGTGTAGACACTCACTTTAGTTTTATTCAAATCACTTTGAATATTATGTTCATATTCATATGCTGGCCTGTCCAACTAAAAGAGAAGTATACCTTGCCTTCCCACTTCTGTGCAACCTTTTGTTAGTATCAGTTGCATGGTTTGATTCCCCCAAATACAGAACCAGCTGTTTAGTTGTGTCTGGAAGCACCAAGCACGGCAACAAGATGCTGAGTGATGAAAGTGTAGAATCAAAGGTAAACCAAATCTAGTCCCCGACAGAGTGGAACAGCAGGGCGTGTCTTTCGAACGCCCGGCCTCCAGCATGCACTCCATGCGTTCTACTGTGCTTTGGCTTTGCATGCAGCCAAAGCACAGAACGTTATTGAGATGCCTTAGCGTTGCTGGAGGTGGGACAACTGAAGCTGCTCCCTGCCAAATTGCTGTTTCATTCAAGTCCTGAACAATTACCACAAAATTTGAATTCTTAATTCAGATGAGGAAAATTTGTCATCCCGCTATAAACGTAAAGGATGTTTTGTACAGAGAGCTGCACGAGAACAAAAATCGGCATGGCAATGATAAATACGCCTTCTTGAAACCAATCCAGCCGAACTGGTTAATAACAGTTAAGAGTTGAGCTTGTTGGTACATACCTGTAAATATATCAGCTTGAACGTTAGAATTATACATGAACACGAAGAAAGAAAGGACAGGAGAGAACAAACAGCTGACTACCAACGGAGTTTTAGTATAAACTTTTTCCTTGCACGTTTGCTTCTTCATTGAGTCCAAAGTAGAGCATGATAAACCTATTACATACATAAACCTATTGCACTAATAAACATCACTACCAATATTTACACTTTATACAAATTATACAGAGCAATTACACAGAATTCCCCAAAAATTATTGTTTTTGAACTGACCCACCACAAGCTCATGTTGTTGTTCGGGACGTGACATTTCCTAGGTATTGTCTTTCCTTTTCGTGAACGATGATTGATGAGGTGCCGAGATGCTCGCTATCGAGGAACATGCAGAAGACTGCATCAGCACCTCATCAATCACCGTTCACAAAAAAGAAAGACAATAGCTATAAAATGTCACACCCCGAACAACAAGAGCATGAGCTTGTGGCGGGTTAGTTCAAAAACAATATTTTTTAGGGAATTCTGTCTAATTTTTCTGTATAATTAGTATAAGCGTAAATATCAGTTGAAGTATTTGTATTACATCTGTTACCACTTCACCCCATGCAGCCGTGCAATAGGGTGAATATAAGATGGGATGAAAACAAGTTTCCAGGTGACTACCTCCGGGTTGAGATTTAAAGATATCGACATTTATCGAAGCAACACTTGTTTGCAAGTTTTGTCGCGAGACAGAGGTGTATTCCCCATGGCAAATGCCAACGCCGAATCCAGCTGAAGAAAGAATGCTTGACACAAGCACATTCTTTTGAATTAAGCACACACCCACAGCCAGATGTTAATTATTTTTATTTTTGAAAAGTAGGAAAAGCTGCAAAATTAAAGGAGCTGTGCAACAATTTCAGTGCTTTGCTTAAATAATTTGGGAGTTGGTGTCTCGACCTTTCTGAATTAAAGAACAAAAAAACGCTTTTGCCTGCATGTCCTAGTTTTTATTTTAAAAATGGACAAAGATTGAGGTTTTCGGCACCTCTCAACTCCTTCACCATCTTCCGAGTCACGTGCGCTGTGACGTCAATGGGGGACGCGCGGGGTTCTGGTGAAACTCTCTCTATAGAGCCATCAGTGAGCAGCGAGAACTCACTCGCTCGCAACCACATGACCACGTGCTTGCACAGAGCGATAAACATGGCGAAAGGAGGAAAGTCTCATCCGGGTTCGGCCATCACCGTCAGGCTCTGTACCCCTCCCCCTCCGGCTTCTGGCGGCTGTTCGCGGTAGCAGATAGAGCTGACGGTTTTATGGACCTACAATAGATGGCGCCACTAAACCTCTGTATAATAAAAGTTTTGTCGATGATACCAGGTTTTGTAGCATTTATATTTATGTTGGAAAGACAAGATTTATAGACAAATTACCTTTTATCAAGCAGGTATTTGCACAACTTGCTATCTTTCTACAAGACCCCCATCGACGTCATGTTGCGTGGTTCTGATGGCTGCCACTCGCGGCTGCAGGTCGGGAAATATTCCAATTTTTGACTCATGATTACGCGGCGGAATCGCAACATTTCGAAGGAAGGATATCTGTTTTCTGTCCTTTGTGAGAAGATGCAAATTCTTTCAACGTTAAAATCGTTGCACAGCTCTTTTAAACTAAGAATTTTGGATAATTGTGAATTTAACAAAAATAAACTGCGATAACCTCTGAAATTTCAGGCCAAATATAAACTCCAAAAAAACACCCACCGAATTTGATAAAAAGTAAACACCAAAAGCACGGAACCTTGCCTATAGCCGAGATGTGTTTGTTGAAGTTTCCTTAGATTCCAGATCACTTAAAAAATCTAATAAAAACTGCAGTCGATTGCATGACACTTGTTGGAAAAACGCACAATGCCAAATGCAAGCAAGATGATCATTTTTATCACCACGGTGGCAAGTTTTATGGGAGATTCCGAAATAGCGCAGTAGACATTTTGTTGGGAGACGTCAAAAGTATTTGAAAAATATTATCACGCCTTCAGGATGTCACTTCCTGAAATCTTCAGGACGTCAAAATAATAGTACACTCATTTTGATGTTGGACGTTGAAAGTCACTGCCTCTTCAAAACGCCGTAAAACGCTGCGCATGCATTTTATCATTGTAATATGGGTGGATTTAGTAGTTTTCAATGATTTGCATCAAGTTTCTAATTAAAACCATACCTTTAAAATTTTTAAAAGTTTATTTACTGAAATGTCATTACATGACCTATGATCTAAACAGCATGATGACTGATGTGGGAACAGAACAGCTTGAAATGATACGGTGCCGGATACGAACCCCTAATAAAGGAGATATGGCTATTGGGGTCTTCTACCGTCCGCCTGGAACCGGTGTCGCGACCCTACAGGCTTTGAACGATGTTGTTTCTGTCTTACCTGATGAGCAGATATTCCTTGCTAGAGATTTTAATCTCCCAGAGCTAAAATGGCATGGTAATGACACCACTGTGCCAAGTGGGGCTGTTTATGCTGAATTTGATGATATTTGGACAACTTATGGTTTCAAGCAATTTGTTCAGGTCCCAACTAGAGGCGAAAATATACTGGATCTACTGTTGTGTAATAGTGAAATAGTTCATGATGTAGCCGTCCTACCAGGAATTAGCGACCACAAGATAGTCACTGCCAGCTTGACGTTCCCTCAGCTTTTCCGTGCCCAGGATAATGACAGAAAGGTCTTTATGTACGATAAAGGTAATTTTGAAGCTATAGAGAAAGGACTGACTGAATCTTTGGAAGATTTCGAGCTTTTCGCTCTAGAAAACAGTGTAGACGCTACGTGGGAATTTTTCGAAAATTGTTTGTTGGAATTAATAGGGAAATATGTTCCCGTTAAAATAATATGTGCAAAAGCAATGAATGATAAGCCCTGGATGACAGCTGCCGTAAAAGAGGTGATAAAAAAGCGCAGACGTGGGTATAAAAATTATAAATTACACCCATGCATATCGGCAGCCGCAGAGCTACAGAAACTGAATGTATCCTATAAGGAAGCTATTACCACTGCAAAAAGCAAGTATTTTGATAAACTTTCCGATGGCATGCGACTTAGTTAGTAGCAAAGAATTTTGGAAATACCTCAGAAAGACGCGTAAGGAGAACATGGGAATTCCAAATATATTATACCTTGGGGAAGTAATTGAAGAAAGTTACAAAAAATCGAGCTGTTTTAATACATACTTCCAGTCTATTTTTGCCACCAGCGTCAGAACTCATTCTTACCCCCCTCTCAATGAACAAATGGTGAATCAAATGCCTCCGGTGGTCATCAGTGTAGAAGGGATAAAGAAGTGCTTAGATGAGCTTGATATTAAAAAGGCTGTAGGTCCCGATGGTTTGTCACCGAGTTTTAAAATTATGCTCATTTGTTGTGTCTCGCTACTTAGGGATTATTTTTTGTAAATCGCTAGAACAAAGTGTACTCCAAGGTCAATGGAAGATGACATGTGTTACGCCAATCCATAAGCACGGATCAAAACACAAGGTAGAGAATTATCGCCCCATATCACTGAGCTGCATATGTTGCAAGATTTTAGAGCATATTGTTTAAAAGTAATGTTGCGAGGCATTTCAATACAAATAGATATTTCTCTTCTACTGAACATGGTTTTAGAAAGGACCTCTCATGCGCCACACAGCTCAAAAACTTTATCATGACTTGCTTTCAACTGCTGAGGGGGGAGGAGAAACGCACGCCATCTTTCTTGATTTACGCAAGGCTTTCGATAAAGTGTCTCACCCTTTGCTGCGACACAAACTGAGCTCCCTTAGCCTTGATGAAAACATATACCGTTGGATTGAAAATTACCTTTCTGGCAGAAAGCAGTGTGTCGTCATAAACGGTGCAAGCTCAGATCTTGTTGATGTGACTTCTGGCGTGCCACAGGGTTCAATGCTGGGACCCCTTTTATTTCTTGTATTTATTAATCATTAATAAATACATTGTGAATATATTTATTAATAAATGTATTCACATAAATGTATAACATATGTAATAAATGTATTCACATAAATGTATAACATATGTAATAAATGTATTCACATATGTGAATATATTTATTAATAAATTTATTTATACATAAACGTATAAATACATTTATTAATAAATGGTCGGTGGTATGTCATTAATAATGACATATCACCGACCATTAACTCTCCCATAAGGCTGTTTGCGGACGATTGTGTTTTGTACAGCAGCGAAGACAATGTTGGTGATTCAGCTTTTTTGCAGTCCGACCTAGATAAAATATTGGAGTGGTGCAGGATTTGGGACTTGGGCTTAAATGTGGAAAAGTGTGTGCAAGTCACTTTTGGGAGGGAACGTAACCCTGTCCAGTCATGCTATTTTATTGATGATCATAGATGTTAAATATTTGGGGATTACTTTGTCAAGCACCCTTTCTTTTAATGTTCATGTCACTGAAACTGCTAAGAAAGCCAACCGCACTTTAAATTTCCTTATTCTAAATTTATGCGGTGCTCCACAGAAACTAAAAGAGACTGCCTATTGCTGTTTGGTAAGACCTACACTGGAATATGCATGTGTTTTGTAGGATCCGCATCAGAAGTACCTTGCAGATAAGTTAGAAAAACTTCAAAACCGTGCGGCCAGATTTGTAACAGGAAATTATAGTAGGAACAATAGCATAACAGAAACTAAAAATGTACTTCGTTGGTAAACCTTATTGTCAAGGTGCAAAGATTTTCGATTGAGGTTCTTGCTTGCAATTTTTAATGATATGACTGGTATTGATAAAAGCAACTACATAAAATTACCTAACTACATTTCAAATTGTGTGGATCATACCAGAAAAATAAGGGAAATTTCTTGTAGAACAGATTATAAGAAGTTTTCATTTTTTCCACGCACAATCGCTCAGTGGAACCTGTTACCACAGTCTTTTTTTATTTGTGATGACATGGGACCATTTATCTCAGGAAATGGTCTTGATTTTTAATGTTGTTTATGTTCAATGTTTATGTATTTTCTTTATTGACAGCCCAGGTTGTATATATTTAAGTGTTCTGTTTTTATTTTATTGAGCATATTAATCCATGGGCTGTACCTGCTATAATGCCAAAGTTTTTGGCGCTGCAGGTTTTTTTCTGTAAATAAAAATGCTAGTAATTTTCCTTAATGGGCCTTTTGGCAGGAACCACTACAGCATTGATCTTTCCGTGAAATGCACATTTTTCGCAAGAATGATTTGGCTCGCATTTCGTAAAACACCGTGTGTGCAAACCTGGGCAGCATGCCAATGTGACATCATGTGCCACGTGATTTTAAGGTGTGAAGTGTGGTGTCACATCATGTGACATGATGTGGCCACAGTGTCAAGTGAAGGTGTCATGCAATAGAGAATGTTACATATGTGACATCACATGTCCTCATGGTGTTTATCAAGTGACACCATGTCACATAATGTAACAAATGTCAAGTCAAGGTGTCATGCAATAGAGAATGTTACATATGTGACATCACATGTCCTCATGGTGTTTATCAAGTGACACCAAGTCACATAATGTAACAAATGTCAAGTCAAGGTGTCACATGAACCAATGATGTCACATAACATGAAAAGCGATCCCATGGCATGTCGCATAATGCGACAACACAATGTCAAGTCATGGTGTCACATGAACCCATGCATGATGTCACATAACATGACAAGCGACCCCATGACATGGTGTTGAGTTATGCTGTCGTGATGTCACATGGCCTGGTGTCACGTAACTTGTTATGCAACACGACGCCACATTACACCACGACTCGACACCCAACGAGATCTAATAATGTTGCCAACGTTATGTGATACCATAACCTCATACCGCAATGCCACATAGCCCCAAGGTGGCGTTCACTAAATTTAGAACAATGTTGGCCATCTAAATTTGGCTAAATGTTGACCCGCCAGATTCAGCGGAATGCTAGCCTGCTACACCTAGCCAACACTGGTACGGTACGCCCATAGCAACACAAATTTTACTTGGCTTGCATTAAAATGCTATTCAAAATTGGTCTTACAACACTTAGTGTAATATAGGTGGAGCGCCCACCCCACCCTCACTGAAAACTGGGTTAACCTAGACATGGGCGCTTGTCTGGTAAAATCGGGCACTCACCGTAGAATACCGCGCATCTGCCCATTCCACATTAAGCGCCCATTACCAAAATTTGTAAAATCTGAGAAAATATGCACAGTACATTTATATGTAAAAATGATGACCAGACAAGTGCCCAACCCCCATTTTTTTGTGATTATCTCCAAAGTTTGAGTGGGCGCTTGCCCGGTATTTTACGGTAATATATAATTAACAGAATTCCCATGTTCGGGAAATGTTACAGTGGAGCTTGAACGAAGTGGGCACTTCCGCTGTATTTGAAGGCAAAAATAAAAAGCCAAAAATGAAGCACTTGACGTCACATGAAGTATTCTTGACCTAAATACTGTAATGACACCTCGTTATTGAGATGAGAACTACAAAACACGGAGGGCGCCAGCAGACTGTACTACCTGGTAGAAACATTTTCTGCTGTGGCATTGTGATCCCAAGTGGACATCGAAGTGCAACTATGATGCTGGCAGTGAGTACAGTATAATCCTTTAAGGGCGCGCCCTCCCCCGAGAGATTGCCCATCCCATTTTTTGGGGGCTAAATATCCATAACATAATTCCGAAACATCGCACACACCCCAATTTCCGTCGGATATTGTGTGATGTCCGACGGGAAGCACATCAACTGCATGATCTGCGGTACCAATACGTGTGACAAGCGAGTTCGCAGCGGGTTCCCGAGTCTTTGTCCGCGATCTGTGCACGCAATATCGGTTCCCGTGACATACGAGTTTGTAGCGAGTTCCCACATATTTTGTCCGTATTTAAGTTTGATATCAGTTCCTGCGACATGCACATTCAGCTAGTTTCCGCATGTTTATCGCACTCTGAAGTACAAATCTGCTGCATCCAGTCTGCGTTATCCTTTCCCGTGAGACAGGAGTTTGTAGCAAATTCCCGAGCGTTTATCGCAATGTGAAACACTAATTTGTCGTGTCCGCGATATCAGTTCCCGTATCACAAGTTTGTAGCGGCCCGTTGTGTTTATAATTTTTTTTTTTTCTTAAGTTTTGCTGGGTTTTTTTTTGGTTTTTTTGCATAGCCCTTTTACGTTTTTCACCATTTATCTCTTCATTTTGGGTGGGCACCTTTACGGGATTTTACGGTAACTTAGAGAAAAAGCTTACCTCCATTTTGGCTGCCAAGAAGAGCGCTGTGATGCCCACCAGCTGAAGCTGGTTCTTAGGTAGGTTCTCAGACTTTGCGAGGTAGCGGTCAATGAAATCTTGGGCAAGGTAGTAGGTGTCCCGTTGTAGCCTGTAGACCTCGCACACCTGGCGGAACGACAGCGCAACGTCACGGGGGCAGCCCCAAAGGCCAAATGAGACGAGCCAGTTTACCAAACTTGCAAGCTGGCTCCTTGAGCGTCTGTTTGGCTTACCATGCTTTTGCCAACGGCTATCGGCCTATAATGCAGCAGTCCGTCCCACCATTACAACAGAGCAGGCGTAGGACAATCATGATTGCGGAATTAGTTAAAAAAAGTAAAACAAATGATTATTAACAGGCAGGATATGAGAAGAATTTGACATAAAAATATATTGAACTAGAAAACTTTCGTCATTCTACACACCGCTTCACCTTACAATGAACCGCAGAGGATGCTACAAACTATCCCAGCCAATCCAATGCTGTGAACCTGTCGTGGGACTATGCGTACCATGTGTTGCTGCACCTCTCCCTAAGGTCATGTGACACTTGCACAGCATAGGATTGGTTTAGACAACTCAAAGCATCCACTGCAGTTCATCGTAAGGTGAAACAGTATAGCCTTGTAGGTTGATGAAATTTGGGAACACCTGCTCAGGAGGTATATAGAATTTAAATTATCTGCCGCAGAAATTTCCATTAAAACCGGATATCTCATGAATGTTTACGGCTTTACAGTAATGATCGATAGCAGGCACCCCCAAGAATTGTAAATAAAAAACAATTTAGGACAACTTATATACAACCATGTTCGACAATTTGATACTGCAAGCAGTTAGCATGACCAGAGATGGCATAAATGGCATTACTGCAATGGACGCACAATGCAGTTTTCTTTTACCGGAATAGAATTACTTGACTAGACAGGTAGTGTAGGAATTAGAAGGAGTAACCTACGATGGTAAATTCAGTATACTGGAACCATGTTTAGGTCCCCAAAACAAGGTTTTGGAGTGCTCCTACAGAAAGAAAGCCCTTGTGATGTTGACATATGCCTTCCGTTGTTCATGTAATGAAACAAGGCTTGAATTGTTGCATGACCTCCAAATAAATTATTTATAGGAAGTAATGGTAAAGCCATTTAAATGGTCTAAGCAAATGTAAAATTACTTTTTGTTTGCGGTAATAAACGAAACCACGTCGGCCACATCTGGTGACACCCACCAATCCTGCAGCTAAGCCAACCTACCGCATGGTCATTTCATATGGTCGGTGGTCATATGATCAATGGACCACAGCAAATGCTATGAGCCCATCAGGTGCCAAAAGCATGTCGCCTGATCTCGAGTGAGGTGGAGTATAGCAGGATCTGACAACCCCCTTTCCGACTGCTTGATCCCTTCATACAGCTCTGGAGTAACATTTCTACAACCCACCCTCCAAGGAAACTTTTTGGCAGGTGCAACTGGCTGACCACCTAATTATTGGCTGCTTTTTGCATTTCAAATTATCAAGCATTAAAGCTAGCATGAAAAGAGGGCATCATACACTCACCCTTTGTTCTCTCTAAATTTAGCAACTCCTTAGGGTTCATATTTTTTTTGTCTTTTACTCAACCAAGCACCAAACCTCGATATTGGCAAAGATGGGCTAACACTGGCGGGGTCAGTAGTCTAAGCAGCCTGTTCAAAAGGACGGCTCCACGGCCTGGCTCAAACATACTTCAATGAGCCAATCCAAGAGGATGGTCCGCATGCGTGGCTGTAGAGCAGGATGCCTTTCCAGAGCGGCGGCGCTGTGAGTGTAGATCACATCCTTGTGGTTCATGAGGCCCCAGACATTTTCTTGGTCCGCCCAGAAGAACTGCGGCAGCGGAGAATTCCGGCAAGACCGTGACTCTGGGGTGGGTAGGCAGTGAATGCCCCTAAAATGGCTGTAGCTCTTTGGAGTCTTGTTGCAGCTGTCCCCAAAGGCAGCCTTGAAGCTACGTTGAGGGCTCTCGAATATGTTGTCAAGGAGAGACAATGACCGTTCTTCAGAGCTCTCGTTCAGAGCTGTGTCCGGCACTGGGGAATCCTGCATGTTTAAGCCCATTTACAGTGTCAGCATAGTGCAGGCAAATTACCGCCTTGAGGCTTCAGCCTCACGTCTTAAAGAAAGCTAACAGCAATAGCAATTGAGGTATGAAAATATATTCCTTCACGTATCCCATGGAGGCAATGATATGCTAACCTGCAATTCAACGGACGCAGGGCATATCGCAACCAATGCAACGGTAAATCTGAATCCTTGCAGAAGCCGCGCAATGGGAGAGATGCATTTTTGCAAGGTGCGGCATTACTTACCAGGTGCAGAGGACTATTCAAGGAGCACCAAATGTTGCTTGGTTCGGACACTACCTGCTTAACGTAAAAATTCACAAAAATTCTCACGCATTAATTACGTCAGTTTATATGAACTACACGACCCAACCTTAGAGGAAAACTTATTATTTCACACAAATCTCCGGAAGAAGCGACGGAGTAACCGAAGCTTGACGTCGGCATTATGCATGTAACTGATGAGTGCTACAACGCTTAAGAAGTGCTAAATGCAGCGCAAACGTAACGAAATCACAAACACTACTGGGAATAAACTAGGGACTTCGCACCACAATTAAAATTACGTAGAGCCCGCGAGGCTACGACATGGACACAAAGGCACGTACGAAGGGCGGGTTCGGGATTTTATTTCAGGCCTGCGCGCTAACAAAGCTGCCGAACAAAAGATCAAGATCGTTGAAACATCTCATACAGAAATTTTTCACACCATATCCACTCGCCTAAATCATATCTGAGAAATTAAAAAAAAATCTAAAAAGGGACAAGGCCCCGCGGTGCTCTATTGTACGGCGCAACTGAGTAGGCCAAACGGGCGATGAAATTAAAAATGCAAACTCTTTTTCCGCGCCTACCCACCAAACACGATGGCTTCGCGGTCCATTCGAGAAAGTTTGTTAATGGTTAGAGCACCGCAGGATCGAGTTTGAGCCCGCAAAAGCAGAGGTCGGTTAGCGCCAAAAGTACCGCCCCGCGATTTTCCCCACGGAAGTAAGCCTTTCTCGGCACCCGGTAAAAGGCTGCAAGAGGGTCAAACCTCGCTCAATGTCGCTGCCCGACGTTTTCTACGAAGTATGGTGGGTTCCATGACGGCACGGGATCGCTTGGGTCTCGTCAATCGGGTGCTGGAAAAGGACAGAAGGCACTAAGGCGAGATCGGTCACTGCCGCCAAGCCCACTGATCGCCCGCCAACTCGGCGCGAAGAATTTCTCGCCCAGGTAAAAACGAGCAAGAATTTCGCATAAAACGATAATAAATACTTACCTTCTCTTCGACATACTGGTATTCGAGCTCTCCGGGACAGTATTCCGTACAAAATACCTGCACAGAGCGGGAAAAAAATTGTCCCACCGTCGAGTTTTTGGCGCGGTAAATTACGCGCGATCAGCCGTCCGGATCGCCCGCCGAAATTGCGTCAAAGTTCTGGGATAACTTTCAAAGACCCGTCACTGCCTTTGTAAATGTTACACGAGTCTCGCGGATAAACGGGGTGACATAGACATAGTATGTGGACCCTGCATCTTTCAAGAGAATGGCCGCATCACCGTCGATTGCCCGCGAATCGGCCGGTATTTTTCACGCTCAAATGAATTCTGTGACCTCTCAAATGCGAGACAGCTCGTCGCGAATCGAGCAAGAGGCCAAAAGGATTCAACTCACGGCTCCGCTGTGCAGAGAACGTCCCACGGAGGCTTTCAATGCGGCACACGGACACCGGGCATCTTCAGGTAAATGATCTCGAACACTGCCGGGTTCCCCCACACAGCTTCGGAGGCCGGACGAAGAATCCCGCTCGCTGAAAGCGCGGGGCCGCGCAAGTGCAACAGCTGAGTGGAAAGGAGGTGCCACCATCGCCGCTGAGAGAAGGCGCTTTTTCTCCTCTGTTGCCAGACTTGGCTGCACGCGCTCTCACAGCGCTCTCTCCCCCGTCGCGGCTGGTGTCGTCTGCTCAAAAAGGAAGAGACGCGGAGACGGAAAAACTGGTCGTTTTCTTGCTTACCTCAACCGATTGCGTTTACACGCCTGTGACTGGTTTGGAACGAGTTTTTAGAGCTTAGCACACTAGTGCGAATTGTCACCAGTCGATTGGAGGGGGAAAAGAGAGAGCGCGAGCGATTCTCTTCACCGCCCTCAGTAACGACTTTCGTGTCGTAACACCTGAGACTGTGCTGCAGAAAAAGAACACTTCTAGCCTAATGCGAGAGAACGCGCAGACTAGAAGTATTTGTTTTCTACACCACAGTTTCAGGTGTTAAACGACATTATTAGATACCACCAGCTTGCCTGCGCATTCGCAGTCTTTTCACGAATTTCGTGCTGACTTATTCAAACCAGGTTTAGACCAGGGTGTTGAACCGTAACCGAACCGAAAACCGGAACAGAACCGATATTTTTAGCCGAACCCGAACTGAACCGAACCGAAATCTTTGCCGCCATCTTGGAACTGAACTGGAACCGAACCGAAAAAAAATATAACGGTAACCGGTTCAAAACGGTTCAAGCTAATATTTCTTTTTTTTTTTTGTTAGTATCACAAAATGAACATATGGGAATAAAAAATTGGCGGCTGTATTTCTATCTAGGATCAAATCGTCATATGTACAGAATTGAAAAGTATGGTAAGTTGTGGGTTTTCATGGCACTATGATTAACCATGTGTCACGTTGTCACGTGACGTCATGGTGTCAATACATGTTGTCACGTGACGTCGTGAAGTCACGTGACTCACTGCGTCAACTCGATTTAATTTGAAGAAGTCACTAGATGTATTAACATTATTGACAGCATGACGTAACATGACATCACGATTTCGCACCGAGAGTCACGTGACACCGTGACGTAAGCGATTTTCACAACCCTTAGTTGAGTGCTCGGGTTCATGACAATCAGCACCGCCAAACATTCGGGTAACGGCTCATGTCAATTACATATGATAATAGCCCAACCCTAACAATATCTGAAGCTACATTCCAAGATGTAAAGGGGGAACAGCGCACCCGCAGAACAGTCATTCAAATCAACATACACACAAAAGAAAGAAACACTTACTTAGCGCTGACTGACAGCTCTCTATATTTACACTTTTTCTTCTTCTATTTGTGCTATATGCAAGGGCCAGGGAGAATAACTGGTCTTTTTTTCTTTTCTTTCGATATGATGCTAAATAGTGAACTAAATTGAAATTAATGTAAAGCTAGGCAGTCTAATTCTTTTTGTGACAAGGTTAAAGACGGAGTACTAACGCATGTGCCGTTATGTTTCGCAATGTTCTCTGCCTCGATAATTTCTCTTGTGAGCTTGTTGTGGTGCTTGCCAAGCACGCCGCAGTTACTCAGCTGCACTGAGCACCCACAGTCACGGCAGTGAATCCCTAGATGACCGGAGCTTTTGTTGGTGAATGTGTTGTTATGCTCTCGAAGGCGATCGTTCAGAGACCTTCCGGTTTGACCTATGTACAGCTTTCCACAAGAGAGCGGAAAGGAGTAGACCACCTTTTCTGCACAAGGGACAAAGGTATTCTTGTGCTTCTGTTTGCAGTCAACTGTTGTTATTGGTGGAGTATTTACCTTCTTGCATAAGCTGTGAAGTTTGTTGGGAGCTGAAAAGATGACTTCCAAGTTTACTCGGTTAGCTATTTTCTTCAGTCCGTGAGAAAAATTATGAATATATGGCACAATGATGGGCTTCTTTGTTTTGTCTCTTTGCTTTTGTTGTGTGCATAGGTCTTGCCTGCTTTCGTTGATGAGCTTTTCAGCCACTGATGTTAATAACGAGTTTGGGTATCCTGCGCGCTTTAGTCTTGAGACTTGCCCGTTACTGTCCAAGCTTTTGCTTTCCAAACCCTAGCCGCCTAGAGCATGACTGTGATAACACTGGCGGTATCAGATCATGTGGCCGCTTGCTTAAATTGCGAGTTGAGGAGATATCGACCGCTGTCTCTTTCCTTTATTTTTTCTGCATCTGCTATTAAGGGAAAACTGATGGATGTTTCTGCAAGCTATCAACGTTAGGGGTTATTTCTTAACACTATTTATTTAATGTACAAGAAAAAATGTTGCAAGACCCATTTTACATTATTGAGGCACCCAAGTATGTTATCGTTGTTGCTGAACTGCATCCGAAAGATGTCCCTGAAAATAGAAGTACTGAAATGACTAAATGCGACTTATTAATATGACGTTACATAGAACTACACGTGTGTACGGAAGGAATACTAAAGAATAAATATATATATATATATTTTAGTGACCTCAGAGAGACAGCCGAACGTTGGCAGTCGCTGCAAGTCTCACGCGAGTGTCGTTCTGAAGTTATTGCCCAAGTTTCGACCCCCTCTGCACTTTGCTTAACTATAAAAACATTTCTATACATTACTAAATACTACTCAGGATCACTCCCTAACGTTAATAACTGAATAAACTTGACTTTGCTATTTGTTCTAGGCAATGGCAATTACCAAAAAAAATCGAGAAATATGAGCATCGTTCATCCCCTCAACTCGGAGCCAGAAGCGGCCGTGTGGCCTGGTGCCTATGGTATGCCGCCAACGTTAATCATACCCCCGCGCTGGGGTTTTAAAGGAAGAAAACGCGTGCTCAGCTCCAGGCATTGTTAGAGATCGGCTATTCTCATCACCGCGGTGGCTGGACACGAGCCACAACCCAAGCTTCTGCCAAGACATTGATTGTTACGAGCCGATGTACGGTACTCACGGAGTCCTCCTGTCCAATCCATGAGCCGCGCTCGACTGTCGTCAGGCGAGTGGTTTTCATCCTACAATTGCGACATCCATCTTTGCGAAGGCAAGACTAAAAGAAATGGCCTCATTTAATCCTCGCAATTTCACCGCGACAAAGAAGCTTCTGAATTAGTGGTGGCCTGTGCGAGTATACTTGGGTCAGAGTACAAGTACGCCCCGGAAAAGTCATGAACATTCCAACCCGATGTCGTTTTTTGACCCATCTGAACTTCACGGGGTGCAAAATAAAAGCAATGAAGGGTTGCGGTTAACAAGTGTCAAATAAAATTGTCGAATGAACATACACCAAAGGAGGAGGCAATTCCTCAGGAATACTTTCAGCCTTTCCAGTCTGGTGAAGAAGGAAGACCAGCGAAGCTGTACTATGGTGGCAGTGAAGTAATGGCCGGCCGGAAGTCGGCAAGCCAGAGTGGAAAGGTTGCCGCCATCTATGCGCGACGGCGGCAACCAGACAACCGGCAAGCCGGTTGTCTGGTTGCCGTCGTCATTTATAGATGGTGGTAGCTGTCCAGAGTTTAGTGTCATCATTTGTTTGCTGAGGGAGACGACATTGGGGAAACTAGCCCTTAGCGGCTCCGCTGTATAAAGAAGTGCGTGTGTGTGTGTGTGTGGGGGGGGGGGGGAGGGGGGGGGGAAGGGGGGAGTTTTAAAAACATACTGTGTTGTAAAGGTTCCTCTTCCCTGCATCTTTGGCGCAGACCAAAAAGCGTGGCTCCGGAAACTACTTTGCTTGCAAAAACGCTCTTACCAAAAAGCACGTTTTTGTCGTGCTTAAAATTCTTGCGCGAAGGTATGTAGTTCTGACGTCATGAACCTATCGACCAATCAGGATTTTCCAGTCACGCCACCGACATCGACTTCTCTGCGACATGAGCTTCTTAACGCTATCGAGTTAAAATCATGAGTTAGCAAAGGTGATGCTCATTTGCAAATTAAATTGACCGGCATCTTGTCAAGAACAAACCTCAACATCCAGGCTATGCCAGCTTATTCTGAATAAGAACATGCTCACTTGGGCAAGCGCTATTTTGGGCCAGATTCGATTTGAATGCGAAGGTGCGTATAGATTAGAGTGAACAATTGCGATTACTTCTGGCTGCATGATTAGTTGCATGCATGCGGTGCTGAGTGTAAACAATGTTTGGTTAGAACAACAAGCATCTGAATTGCCGCTCGGTGTTTCTATAAAAAATGGACTGAAAGGAATTATCCTAAAACTTTTGTTAGATTCTGAAAATTTCCTTGCTTTTAGATCAGTTGTGTCGTCATCATATACATATATATTGTGATGTGTATCTCGTAAACCTTATTAAATAATTAGCATGAGCACGACGTGCTCATTTCATAATTTTATGTGATGTAATTAATTCCTTAGTTCAAGGACACAATCACGATTTCATTTTTAACACTGCGACACAAAGTTGTACTAATCACGGGTATTTTAGACGACCTACCACACTTTGCGACAACATTTTATACCGTGTAAATAGACCAGCTTGGACTTTAGAATTTTACTTAAACACGAAAAAAGCACAATAAAACACAGTATAGTTCTAAATTTGAAGCTGATATATTTACAGGTATGTACCAACCAGGCTCAACTCTTTACTCCTGTACTTAAACATTTTTAATCAGGTAAAATATATGTTACTGGTAAACAAAGGGATGTGGAGTCGTATGAACACGACGTTATGTATGCTAATGTAGATTTTTCTTTCTACTCTTGCGTCGAAATTAAATAACTGAATTTAATACTTTTGGTACCTAAAAACAAAAGTAAATTGCACGGACGATCGGAGAAACTATATAGTTAATCGTTTCACGGCGTAAATAGTGTATATTGCCAGAACAACGCGAAAAATATATTCTCAATTTATCGGTTCAAACCGGTTCGAACCGGTCCGAACCGCTCTGAACCGTTATTTTTTTGCTCCCTGGAACTGAACCGGAACCGAACCGAAAGCCGTGAACCCGAACCGGAGCCGAACCGATAAAAATTTCGGTTCGACACTCTGGTTTAGACTACTACCGTTTCAGTCACATACAAGTCAACGATTCATATGTGCAAATTACTTTCAGCGGCACAATTACAATTTAATATTATTATTATTATTATTATTATTATTATTATTA